AACACGGGAAGATGATTTTGCATTCTGATTGCCATAGATAACCTCGAACCTCGATAGGCTTATGGTCTGTTATTAAAGTAAATCTTTACCATATACAAGTAGATGAAAATATTCTACTCCCCAGACGATTCCGAGAGCTTCACGCTCTGTTTCAGCATATCGTTTTTCAGCGTCAGTCAGAGCGCGACTTGCATAAGCTACAACTTTTTCATCATTCTTACGGGTTGTTGCTTGGGAAAGAATAGCAGATAACCCTACAGGACTTGCATACACGGTGATGTACGTGTCTTTCTGAGTATCGAAATATGCCATGCATTCGTTTGCTGATAATGCAGATGTGAGACTTTGAAATGCCTTTTGGTGCACAACTCGCCATTCAAATTTCTTATTCTTCTTTGTTAACTCGCGCAATGGTGCTATCATTGGAGCAAAATTTGCGATGTATCGACTACTATAATTCGCCATGCCCAACAAATTTCTTACATCATGAATATTCTTAGGCATTGGTACATTTTGCAAATCTTCTACACTTTTGGGGTCCGGTCGTGTTCCATCTTCGGTAAAAACTTGTCCAAAAAATTCCAAGCTTTTATTTAGAAAAGTACACTTTGACTGATTAATTCGCAGTCCTTTGTAATAAATTCGTTGCAAACATTTGTCATGATTCACATCATGTTCTTCTCTTGTTTTTCCATGGACAATGATATCATCTGCGATGTTTTTTACACCTGGCAAACCACGCAGTTGTTCCTATAGTGTGAACTGAAAAAAAAATCTCGGCCGCTGTGTTTGTCCCATCATTTAAGCGTTTGTATCCAAATAATCTTTTTTGCGTAGTGAAAGTCGTAATGTATCGGCTATTTTCTTCTAACTACAATTGGTGTTATTCCTGAGAGACATCCAGTTTCGAAAACCATTTTGTACCATGTAATTCAAGTCGGATGTCATCCACTGTTGATATTGGGTGTCTGACTCTGTTTATTGCTGCATTTGCTTTTCTCATAACCACACAAAAACGTACTCCTTTATCCTTTTTGGGTACAACCACAATGGGTGAAATTTATATTGTCGCTTTGGTTATAGGTACTCGTTTGTTGATGTCACTTCGTTGTAACTGCTTTAATTCAACTGAGACTTTCTCACGTTCATGGAAGGGAATACGCCTTTGTGGCTGAACTTTAGGTGTGTGTGATTCATTAATGTTTAATTTTATCTGTTGTCCTGTCAGCTTACCCAAACCACGAAAAACTTCTTCACGTTTTTTAAGAATGTGATTCATTTTCCCCTCACAAATTGGTTGTGTGATACCATGTATATGAAAACTAATTAACCCAAGTTCTTGAGCATTGAATGCAGACAAAATATTACAACTATTACCAGTAAAATATCCTTTCGTATCGGCGAAGAAGATCCCGCCATGATTATCTGTTGTTCCACCTCAAAATAAACGTCGTGAAAAGCAGATCTTTGAGCTAATTTCCTCAATCGCGAATGAGGAAATTATTGTTCTGATTGTTCTTGTTGGGTTTCGCGAAATTCATACACTTCGTATCGCCGATATTTTTGAGGCTCAAAATACTCCGTTAATTTGGTTTTAGCAAGTTCGTATTCGCTGTTGTCGCCTGTATCGCTGAGTTGTCAAAATTTTTCACGAAGGCGTGAACCAGCTTGATAGAGGAGTAATGCTCGTTGTTGCTCTTTATCTTTAATTCCATTCGCGATAATGAACATTTCAAAATCGGCAAGCCATGTGCTCCATCGAGTTGCCAAACTTCAATATCTGGATTAAATTCCGCTATCGGTTGTACATAAAGTGATGAATGTATAGTAGTGTGTACGGTGGCGTTTGCTTCCGCCATCCTCGTCGCCAATGTAATATCTTTTAATTTGGATTCCAAAAAATAATAATCTAATCCTTTCATGCTATTTCCGGTTTTTTTTGTCCCTTTTTAACTCGCCCTCATCCCTAAATATGGTTCCTGTTAACCTGTCCAATTCTTAGCAATCATCTTTCAAATTAAACTATTATATCATTACTATTAAAGTATCTGTTTACTACAGCAGTGTAGGAAGCATTTACTTTCAAACATTAAACATTGTTGCAATCAACACAAAATGTTGGGAATATGGGCATCTCAAAATGTAAATTAAAAGGAGTAACAACAGACAATGTTGACTGTTTTTCCAAATGTAGCCATACAATGTCGTATATATGTAAATCAAGACAAGTTATTGGAATGTTAATTTATTAGTTGAGTGACATCTTATACACGTCAGAAAATTGTTTTTGAAGATAAGTTGTTCATTCATAATAAAGTATAGAAAAAAGTTAGTCAGTGAAAATAATAATGAATAAGCCCTTATATCTTGTGAAAAATCTCGAGGACTTCACTTTCCTTCATGTGAGCAAAGTCACGCGATTTGCCATCTCAGCAAGGGCGTTCAGCAAATGCAGAAACGGTAAAACAGTTACTGGGTTATTTCATTGAAAATTGAGTACAAAGCACATTTTTCAAATCTCAAGCATGTTTGATGTAAATGGTACTAAATGTATGTATTATTATTTATACTATTAAGTCTATTTCATTTTGTTTCCATAAACTTGACTGCCTATCTGCATAGGCACGCTGCGTACCTATTTTTGTATTTTCTATAAGTTCTTATTGAATTTCCATAGTTGATTAACAGCATTGGCAAAATATGCCAAAGCTCATCTGCAGAATATTTTCAGCACGGTGACAATCTCAGGCCGCCACACTGGTATAGCCATGTTAGAAGGGGAAAGGTAATATACTAGCAAAAATTGCCGTAAGACAAGAGTTAATATTCTTTTATAGATTAGATAACGTTGTTTGATTTGAAGTTCAATCACGTTAAATAGGATTTATACACGTCAGCATCAATACTACAAAGTAGAGTGAAAGAATTTCAAGTAAATGTTTGTAAAATGCATGAATATGTTATGCATGTCAGCCTAATACACTTTTCGGAAACTTATATTGCACAAATATATATAATAATACAATACGATATAGGTTGGATGAACATGTTAAGATCAAATGTCAGTCCAAAGGTTAAAAACCAAACCATAAAATACCAGGGCGTTTTTTAAAGATGCTTAACTGCGTGGAACATGGATCGAGGGGACTTCCAGCAACTAAATATCAGCATATAGTTTCATGAATGCGCACGAGACAAGGCCATTTTAAGAGATGTCGGTAGTCTATGCAGTATACGCGATATTGCCAATACATATAATTGACATTTAATGGAAGTTTGTCAAGAATACAGTAATCAAAGTGGCGTAGACGAAAAACAAATCATGCTTTTGAATTTGCAGTCTTTGAGGTGAATTATTTAATTAACGATTCATTCTGTTAAATTTGCCAAATAAAATCTATGAAATACGCATAGCTAGTGCCCAACTTGATCGAAAGATTTGAGAAATTTTCGTTTTCCCTTTTGCTTTTGAATTGTGACCATATCAAATGTGCAACATTTAACATGTTCAAATGTTTGTTTCTCAGCTTTCTTTCATCGTATTTAGTAAACGAAAAACACCAGAAGATATGCCATGCTCTATTTTACACGTGAGAAGAGTTATTCGTTCGTTTAAAATCCTAAACGAGACTGTTATGTCCATTCTTGCACTCGTGTTGCGGTCAACAACCTGCATAGATTGCTTCCTCGTGATCCTTTTCTCTTATTAAGTGTTGCCGACATCTTTCCTGGACAGAAAGACTCTAATCAGCACTTGAAAAACCTAGCCGAGCTTTTCTAAGGAACCATAATTCTTCTCATGCACACCAGTATTGTCCATTCAATTAGAGTACAACAGGTCATACACCTGGAGAATGGAGATTTAACGAAAATGAAATATTTTGGGAATGCTACCGTTGAGTTAAGTTGGTTCCAAATTCCAATAACTGCTCAAAAAGTGCATCATTGGTAAGACAAGGACTCAAGGAATATTTCAACTTAGAAGGAGCGGTTTAAAATGTTTATTTTATTTCCCGTCAGCAAACTTCAAAAAATTTTTTTTTGCTAAACTAACAAAAAATTTTCTTCGAAAAATTTTTGTAAATGAAACGGTTGAAGACAAGCGCTTGCACATCGTTTAGTGGTTGTCTAAAAACTCCTAAATGTTGTTGTTTTCTTTTTTGGAATACAAATGACTGGGAAATTAAACTTGCATGTTAATACACTTGTATCTATTCTGAAGTTTTTAAAACCAGGAGCGTACTGGTACTTCAAAAAGAACAACAAATGAGCAGCATTTATGGGACCTGCGATTACACGATTAAAACAAAAAAAAACTTGATACTTGTATGGCTCTCCATCATTGCTTTAATAAACTGTTGTGTATTTAATATTTATTACTCTTATTGTAATTTATTACTCTTATTGTTGTACCTGGCCAACACGCCCCTGCTTTACACTGGCATTAAAGAACTTTCCCCATATTCGATAATTTAGAGGTATGTAATTATGTGCGTAATTGTGAAAATTTTAAACGTGTTCGCAATTCCTGTATATCGTTCACTAGATTTAAATTTTAACTAAACAATTTTTTATCGTTCTAATAACTTAGCCTATTTTTTAGAAAATTGGTCTAACACATTTAACGTTCAAATTTTCTGTTGAAACCACTATGTGTGAACAAACGTTAATGAAATATTACGATCATATTTATGATTTTAATTTTTTGAGAAGCCTGCGTATTTTACCGATGATGACATGATGTACTTGTTGAAACGCTTAGAATAAAAGATTTTTTCTTTTTTACGGAGTGTCAATTGCTTTGTGTTTTATGAAATAGAAATATTTTGCTCAAGTCGTAATTGTTAACGGTTGCATGGCATGTGACTTTGCGCAAACCGATACTATAAGTCGAATAATTGTCTTCACAAATTATTTTGTACATTATATGCTGCAGACATGATACATAGCCGCCTCATCTGTAAGCTTCTGTTTTTGATTTATATTTTACTATTCCGCAGGAGATGCTGATTTTTCTAAAGATGTTGCGCAGCTGTTAAAAGATAAGTCAGTTTATATTTCAGGTAATGTACAGATCTTTTTACCTTCACCCACAAAATAACTGCGAAACTCTTTCTTAGTGAAAACGGGCCAAGTAAAATAATGTCAAACGTCAACGTTCTTTAGGGGGATTTGACAAGAATGGTTCTCCTTTGATCATTTTCCCGCAATCAGAGAATAAGATCGATGAGGCGAATATCGAAGGGATTTTTCATTATCTAGTTCAAAGATTTGGGTAACTATGACGCTTTTTTCGATGTTATTCGACTTTTTCTATTTATGCAATTTATTATGGGGCTTTTGTGCAATGCCGTTTAGATTGTCAAAAATATCTAAAATAAACGGTGTTCATTGAGATTATTTTTGACGACATGCAAATTGCAATTATTGTTATCTTTTTGTCTACGTAATATTTTGCTAATATAAATAGTAATGTAGAGTAGCTATTTGTCGTTTTAAGTCTACTTTCCAAATTTAAATATTTTTGTAAATAGTGTAAGCTAATTCATTTTCTATGGAAAAACATAGTAGGCATTTTTGAAGAGCACATTTTTGAGCACAGTCAAATTTCCCTCCGCAAATCCCAGGAATTTTGCTAAGAGCAAACCTTCTTTGGTCACAGTTGAAATCACAGTTAATGATAAAGAGACAAGTATGCTTCTAAGCTGGGATGATGGAACTGCTTGTATATAATACGCGAGCACACCAACTATCTCATTAATAATTGGCTTCCAAACTATAAGATACCGTACGCGTGCTCTATTTTAGTAAATTACAATAACGAGTAAGAAATCTTTTACCAGTCTTGAGCCATAATTCTTCATAAGTCTTCCAGCTATGATATGGATTTAGAGGAAAACGATTCCATTTCCCTCAAAGGTAACATGAGAACAAAAACATTTATTGTTTGAAACATTTGAAACAAAATTTGGAACATTATTGCTGCTAATTTGAGAAAAAACGTTATTTTCAAAAGTTTTAGAAAAATTTAACATATAATTTGCTATCAACTATAACAGCGAAATTTTGAAATTTGAAAATTAGTGTTGATTTTAGCTATTTAATGCCTCTGTAACGTCTTCAAGCGTCATAAATTGCTGTGTTTGGCATGGTAAAGCGAAAAAGAACTGATTCGATGTCTTGATTTGCTTTGTAAGTCACGTGTTCACAAACTTTTGGCACTCATAAAACTGTTTTTCTCCAAAACATTCTAGATAATTATAAAACTTCACCTCTAACAAAAAAATTATGTTCCTACTACATAACTCTGTGACTCAAGTTGCCTTCGATTCTTTTCCCCAATAAATGCTCATTTTCAAATAAATATGAGCAATATACATGAAGGCTGTATTCTTTAAGTGAAATAATTTTTGGGAGAGGGACATTTAAGAATTTTATTGTTCTTGTGAAATTTTATTCACGGCTTGATAAACGTAGTTTTGCTAGCTTTTTATTCAAAAAGAAAACGAATATTTACCTAAGTTTTACTGAAATTTCTTAAGATAAATTAAAGAATTAAGAAACGTTTATACCACCTCATTGCTATGCAAATTTTCATTACAAACATGCATGTCCTCATTATTTCATATACAAATGGTTTCATTCTTTCTTAAGTTAATCGTTTCACTCTTTGTTTTGCAGTCCTGATGAGAGAGAAAAGGGTTTTGCTGCTTTAATTGATCGTCGCTCAGAGAAGTGGATGTCTGTGCAATTTGTCCTTGATCAACTTATGGTAATAAATTTTCAGATATTGTATGTTGATTCCCTTATCATTTAATTAAGTTGTTTATGCGCAGTTGTGTATGATTAAGTTCAAAATCAGTCTTTATTGTGTTGTTCTTCACCCTTCAGAGTGCATAATTTCATCTTACGAGAACCATTTGTTCAATAAGTACTATAACTGATAAAACTAGAACTTTCTTTCGATAATCGCTAATTCGTATACTCGAAAATAAGATTTCCGTGCGTTCTCTGGGACTATTTTCACATAAGCTACGAGTGCTTTACGTTCCAAGGCATAGCTTCTCTCTCCAGCACTACACGCTACAGAGTATATTTCCATATTTGTGAGAACATTATTTTAAAATCATTCAGAGTATGATTATGACGTTATATCCTTTGAATGAAACAGTGTGCTTGAAATCGTCGCTTTCAGATAAAAATGTACAAAATAACATGCAGTTTTATGTTTTTAATTATACCATATATTACCAGTACAGCGCCGCAAAACGTTAAATGGGGGTAGGAATGGGGATAGGGGGGCAAACGCTCATAAATACATAACATAAATCCGTTTAAGACAATAGATTTTAAATTAAATGAGATATGCATTGGATAAAATTGAAATTGAGTCGAAGCAGGTCGTTGGGCTGATGTTTTCGTGAAATGAATGTCATATGAATGTACATTCATATGAATATACATTCATATGACATTCATTTCACGAGAAAACATCAGCCCAACAATATTGACCTGCTCACCACTGTGTGACTTCATAGCTCAGTGGTCAGAGCACTGCACCGGCACCGCAGAGGTCATGGGTTCGAATCCCGTTAAGTCGCCTGATTTTTTCAGGTCCTGAGACGATTGCTTAAATTGTCCAGCTAAGTGCGAAGATCATATCTCATTTAATTTCAAACACCGCACTGCATTAAACATTCATATGACAATAGATTTTGATGGAACTTAATATGGCGTGCAATACATCAATGTATAAAATAGTAAATAGTATAAAATTTTTTGAAGTGAATAAAAGTGCTCAATACCATAGAGCGTATATATATAATAAAAGAAATTAAAATTCTCAAAATTTTGCCAAAGCAATCTCCAGGCATCTAATGATACAAAAACGGTTGTCTCTTGCTTTGCTATTTGATTGCTGACGCGTGCGGTAATTTAAAACTTTGCGCGAGTGGATATACTTCATGTACAGTTTACTGCGTTTATTCCAAAGATTGTTTTTATCACGATGAATAATTTCAAGTTTCTTGTTTGTACATATGCTGCAATATTTTCCTAAAGGCTTGATGGAATGAGTCTGGGGTAGAATGATCATTTAATTTAAAACTTCTCGCTGTACAATTATTCTGTGTTGTTCTTGCATTTCACATTGGTAAATGACTTCTTATGGTTTCTGTAGCGCTCCTTAAACGCTCAACAACTTTTAAGGACGGCAACAACGCTCAACAAAATCAAGTGCATATAGTAATCTTTGAGCGAATGACCTAAATATTGCCCTCCTGTGGCTGGTTGTTATTTTCTTGAGAGAATTTTATTCTGCAATTTAGTCATTACAGTGTCACCGTAAATGTTTTCTTGAACTTTCTTTTCGCTTTATCAACATTTGCAAACACGACAATATTTTGCCGTATTTTAAGATTTTTACAAAAGCCAACTGTTTTTTCTTGATTTTAAAGACCTTTCTATAGTTCGCTCGCATGCCATTACAAAGTAATTGATTAAACTTTATTTGTTATATGGCAAGCATCACTTTTGGTAAAACGGTACGTTTTGATTGGTTCATAAGCATGTTTGCCGGTCCATTATTTTCCCGTTATTGACCACGGTTCAATACGCGCAATTTTTCGATAAAATGTAAAACTTCGTGCAGCAATCATCAAAACGGAAAAAAAATAAAACAAAAAACCATGAACGAATATGAGCCTATGAAAAAACATTCGGAACGGGAGTTTAACTATTCAGACAACACAATTTCTGGCCTCTAGCTTGTATGCAGGCTTATAAAAATATATTACTTTTCGCAAGAAGTTATCTAATGAAATAAGATGAAAAAGCAAAAACTTTTAATGATTCCATTTACTTTGATGCATTTGTTAAGATATAAATATCACGCAAAAAACATAAACAATATAGCATTAAGTAGATATGACACATGTCATATTAAGTGACATTCAGAACTTGTTATGGTAATATCGTTGTTCGCAGATACTTAACTTGTTATTTTGTTCAAGAATAAAAATCCTAATATTTCACAAATTTTCCGAGCGTTATTGCAGAATCTCGAATAATTTAACAGGTTATGGGCCCAGGAGCGTTTGAGTTTCTGTTTATGACGGCAAATACGGAAAGTATATGAGATATCGCGATTTCATGAGAATATAACTTACATAAGTGCGAAATATTGAATATGGCGACTTCGGGAAATGACGAAGCATTTACACGGATCGAAAAGTTCAATGGCCAAAACTTTCACCTTTGGAAGTTTAAGATGCAGATGATACTTGAAGAGAAGGATCTCTGGCAAATAGTTATCGGCGATGAGGTAGAACCTAATGGTGAAGGAACTAATGATACTCAGCGTCGACAATATCAAAGGCGGGAAAGGAAGGCATTTGCAACAATATGTTTGTCTCTCGGCGATGAACAGCTATCTCTCGTTCGATCAGCGCGTACTGCAAAAGATGCTTGGGCGAAATTAGAAAGTCATTATGAAGTCAAATCTTTGGCCAATAAGTTATTTTTGCGAAAGAAATATTTCACTACAAGTATGGGTCCTGATGATTCCATGACCGAACATCTCAACAAGATGAAGGATATTGCAAGTCAATTAGAAGCATTGGGTGCGTCTGTTTCTGAGGAAGATCAAGTGGCGACACTCCTTTGTAGTTTACCTGATTCGTACAGTGGCTTAATAACAGCATTGGAATCTAGAGCGGATGACTTATCATTAGAATTCGTTACTGCTAGACTTCTTCATGAAGAACAGAAACGTAAAGAATCCAACGAATGTAAGGATATTGGTGAGAAAGTACTACTATGTCAAAAGTCCAAAAACGACAAACTAAAGAATACCAAATTAAAAAGAAAAGGTAAATGCCATAACTGCGGGTTACCTGGACATTGGGCTAGAGAATGTCGCAAACCCAAACAAAATCAGCAAATTGACAATAGAAATAAAAGGGAAGAAGCATCCTACGGAGCCACAGCTCAGAATTCGTCATTGTTTACAGATAACAAAGAATCTGCATGGTACATTGATTCAGGTGCATCATCTCATATGTCATATAATAAGGACATCATGGTTGATTTCATCCCATTCAAATTCCCTGAAAAGGTAAAGCTAGGAGATGACAGAATAGTTCAAGCACTGAGAAAAGGAAATGTACACATTGAGATTAAGTCTAAGAAGAAGTATGAACCAAGAAGATTGGTTGACGTTCTATATGTTCCAGATTTAGGAAAAAATCTCTTCTCAGTTAGTGCTACCGCAAAACGGGAATATTCAGTTGAATTTAATCAACACACTTGCTTGATACTTGATCAAAATGGATCTATATCTGGATCAGGAAGAATGATGAATAACCTGTATGTTCTTGATGTTAAAGAAGAACAGGATGATTTGAAGCATGCGAATGTTTCTACAAGTGATACTAGCGAAGAAATATGGCATCAACGGTATGGCCATCTAAGCCTGAAGAATTTACGTCTACTTCGAGATCAAAAGTTAGTTAAAGGTCTTAATTTTCAATCCGATGATCACTTTGAAGTTTGTGAAGGATGTGCACAAGGAAAGCAGATACGAGCAACCTTTCCTCGAGAACCTGCAACGCGTGCTAAAGATGTACTTGATCTTGTCCATAGCGATGTTTGTGGACCGATGGAAGAAACAAGTCTTGGTGGAAATAAATATTTCATAACATTTATTGATGATAAATCAAGGTAAACAACAGTCTACTTTATGAAGAGTAAGGATGAAGCTTTTGAAAAATTTAAAGAGTTTGAAGCAATAGTGACTAATCTCACCAACAAGAAAATTAAAGTACTTCGATCAGATAACGGTGGTGAGTACACTTGTCACATGTTTGAAAAATATCTAAAGGATAAGGGAATTCAGCATCAATTCAGTGTTCCAAGAACGCCACAACAGAATGGAGTTTCTGAAAGAATGAACAGAACCATTCAAGAAGCTGCACGATCTATGCTGAACAACGCAAATCTACCAAAGAAATTCTGGGCTGAAGCAGTTCATACTGCAGTCATCTTAAGAAATCGAAGTCCTACTGTATCTGTGAACGGAGTTACACCTTACGAATGTTTCTATTCTAAGAAACCTGATTTTTCACATCTGAAAATTTTTGGTTGCACAGCTTACATGCACGTTCCTAAGGAAACAAGGAAGAAATGGGACTCCAAAACCAAGAAATGCACATTTGTTGGGTACAGCCTCACAAGTAAAGGTTATCGACTCTACGACGCTTCAACTGGTAAAATTCACATATCAAGAGACGTGTTATTTGACGTAAGCTCATTTGATCGACGAAAGAAATCTACTATAGTAATACATGGATATGATAAAGATACTGTGACCGAAAAACAGAATGATGAACTATTTGAAGACAATGAAGAACATGAAGTCAATGAAGAAATGGAAGATAGTTCTAACAACAGTATGACAGATGAACAACAACCACGACGATCAGCACGAATACAGAAATCTCCTGATAGACATGTTTTGGTGATCACAGGTAATTGGTGGCAGAACAATTTTGCTAACATTGATGATGAATCTATCCGTCACGATGAACCACTCAACATTAATGAAGCTTTTCATAGTCCAGATAAGGCGAAATGGAAACAAGCAATGGACAATGAATATTCCTCCCACATAAAAGACAATACTTGGACATTGGTTGATTTACCTAAAGATCGTAAAGCCATAGATTCTCGATGGATATTCAAAGTAAAGTACAAAGCAGACGGTTCAATTGAACTGCATAAAGCTCGGTTAGTTGCTAAAGGATACTTACAAGAATATGGTTTAGATTATGAAGACACATTTTCTCCAGTAGCAAAATATACATCAATTCGCTCTCTCTTGGCAATTGCTAATCAGTTAGATTTGGACGTACACGAAATGGATGTTTCAACGGCATTTCTGAACGGCGAACTGAAAGAGGAAATATACATGAAGCAACCTGAAGGATATGCGAAAAAGGGACAAGAACAGAAGGTCTGTAAATTAAACAAAAGCATATATGGCTTTAAGCAATCTTCGCGATGCTGGTTCGATACCATCGTTCAGTTCTTAAAGAAATCTAGTTACGTTCAATCCAATTCTGATCCGTGCCTGTACATTAAACGAAAGGGAGATAACATGCTTTTAGCGTTATACGTCGATGATTTGATTCTTGCAAGTAACAACAAGAAAATGCTAGAAGAGGAGAAAGGTATTTTAAAGAAACGCTTTGAAATGAAAGATCTAGGTGAAATTCATTTCTGTCTTGGCATTCAAATTCAACGAGACAAGGAAAAGAAACAAATGCGACTTCATCAATCAAAGTATTTGACGAATTTATGGAAGAGATTTGGAATGCAAGACTGCAAACCTGTTGCAACCCCCGTTGAGCTCGGAACCAAGTTGTTGAATAATGGAGAGCCAATGAACATAACCAAATATCAAGCATTAATTGGTGCATTAACGTATGCAGTTACAGCGACAAGACCAGACCTGGCACAAGCACTTTCAACAGTTAATCAATTCTGTGCTAACCCTAGCCAAAACCATTGGAATGCTGCCAAACCTATTTTACGTTACATTAAAGGTACGATTAACTACGGCATTTGCTTTGATGGACATAAGGAATCTGAAGTCAAATTAAGTGGATTTGTTGATGCTGATTGGGGATGTGATCCAAATAATCGAAAATCACATTCAGGATACCTATTCATGATTTGTGGTGGATTGGAAAGTTGGGCAAGCAAAAAGCAAAGTATTGTAGCTCTCTCATCTACTGAAGCTGAGTATGTTGCAGCATCACAAGCATGTCAAGAAGCAATATGGTTAAGAGGATTACCACGTGATTTAAACTTCACTCAAAATAAACCAACTATCATAACAGAGGATAATCAAGGAGCAATAAGTTTGTCAAAAAATCCGAAGTACCATCCAAGAACGAAACACATTGACATAAAATATCATTTCATTCGCGACAAAGTACTGAAGAAAGAAATAGCACTTGAGTATTGTACGTCACAACAAATGGTTGCTGATATGTTAACGAAACCATTAGGAAAAACTGTATTTCAACGAATGAGATCTAATATGGGAGTAACAAACATTTAAAGGAGTAGTGATTAGTTTATATTTTTCGAAAGGGAGTGTTAAGATATAAATATCACGCAAAAAACATAAACAATATAGCATTAAGTAGATATGACACATGTCATCTTAAGTGACGTTCAAAACTTGTTATGGTAATATAGTTGTTCGCAGATACTTAACTTGTTATTTTGTTCAAGAATAAAAATCCTAATATTTCACACATTTTCCGAGCGTTATTGCAGAATCTCGAATAATTTAACAGCATTCTGATATTGAAAGCGTACAAAGTTCTTTTGCAATGTAATAAAACTAGGTTTTGTAATGCAGAACGCGATGTTACCAAATGCACCAAATTGCTTGAATCTTTTAGGTTTTTTCCCGATGATTAATTTTTGTGTGCCAGGCATGTTTTTGAAGAACATTTAACAACATTATTATCACTGGGATGAAATCTTTCATTTTCAAAAATTTTCATTCCTGCTGTACCAGAGATCGAAAACTGTGTGCATGCTCTGGTTTACATTGTCTAACAAAAGATTATTTTGCCAATAATGGAGATGATCTTTTGAATAAGTTCTTGCTAGTACATACATCTTAATAATAGTTGTTGGAAGGTTTGGTGGCCACAATCTCTTTTCTTCATTTTTGCATGCTATTGGCATCTTGCTCTTTAAGTGCCTTCTAGTGGCAACAATTTAAAGTTGTTTTCTTTGGAGACACTTTTGTAAAAGTGACTGCACAGCAAGAGATATTTAATTATACCTTAAATTTTGTAAATAAAGCAACTGAGTGAATAAGTCATCAACAGAGAAATTTTCCTGTTACTGTTGGCCAATTTGACCGAGAAATGAGCTTGTGGCCTATTTTGAAGCTGCATTGTATTAGAAATTGCATAATCCATGTTTAAAAAATATATTCCGCATAAAGTTCTCTTAATCAAGTTGACATTCAATGTAAAATAAAGATTTATTCTTAACAAAGCAAATCGAGAAAAACAAGAAAACATACAAAACATCTTTTAAAATAGCATTGCATGTAAAGCAATCGTTGCTTGTATCAGAACATATTGCAAAACTTGTTTCGGAAAACGCACGGAAACTTTATTTTAAAAGCTTTTTTTCTAACCTCATTTCATTTCCATCTTTATCATTGATCTCTATGTATGAACTGGATTTATAGCATAAACAATATAAATTTTAATAAACACGAAATTGTTTCCTTTGTGCGCACATTTGGATCCTGTACATTTGTTTTATTGACAATGCCTGAAGCTGAAGTTTTTAGTCCGAAACAACCTTCGCAGGCTAATCAAAAACCTAAATTATATTTCACTTCGGTGAATAATACCAGAAACTCGATAGGGCTTGTTTTTAGATTCAATTGGCTTCTGATTGTTCCCTATTTATCATGGCGGTTATTACAGTGTTAAGTACATTACTTGAATTTGCTAGCTATTATCCATTGCCGGAACAGCCTTGCGTATCCTGCTTGAGTCACATGATACTTCTCAACTAAACATTATACTTTGATTTTTCTATTGATTTAGCGGTTTTTCCCTGCCACAGTTGTCATTAAAAATGCGTATGTCATCAAGCCGCAAGGATTTTTTCAAAAGTTTTCTAGAAGTAGATTTCGATCAGATGAATCATATGACTTCCAGGTACGAAGTGTTGTTTGTTTTCATGAAGGTACTTTTTGAGACTCGTCGGCAACAATATATTGCGCAAAATATGCGAAAAAGAGCGAGAGTAAAATTTAAGGAAACATTTTGTAACCCCAATCTCCACTTAGTCAGCTCAAGCAGACTTCACTTTATTTCATTATATGCCAAATCTAGCAATATCTTGATTTGGTAGTGTTCGCTTGCATTTTTTATTCGATTGCTTAATTGATTGAATACATGTTTTATGTGATGAACACTAACCAGCCAGCCGGCCAGAATTCATATACTTGCTGTGGGAATATTGCTTTGAAAGCTCATTAACCTGAATGTGATTAAGTTAAACGTTTAGCTCATAATATGTTTTTCAGGTCACCATTCTGAATGACATCAATGCTTTGTATGAATATGTGGACAAGAGTCAGCTCACACCATGTCTCGGTGGCTCACTTAAGTACAATCATCAAGAGTGGGTTGAAAACAGAATTGTAAGTATGACATGTCCAAAATTCTCATGACAGCAGTTACTTGCAGTTTCAATTTCCGTGTTTTGATGGCTTGATCGAAACAGCTTGCGATGGTCATAAATGCATAAAGTTGCTTGTAAACATTTGAAAATCTTATTACAAGCTTGCGTAATGAATCAAGATGCCAGTGAACTATATCTTTATGAAACTTACGTTGGTCATGTTGGATCATGATGAATATAAAATTGCTTATTCGTGTATGTAGAGTTTACTGAACTTATAGCTTAGGAGTAAAAGTGTTCACTTACGGTAAATTTATTCAAGATGTTGAACATTTAACAACAACAAAACTCGTGCCCAATTTGCAGAAAATAATAATAATATTCATGTACGGCAAGTCTGAGCAACAATGTGTGCTAAGTGCTCGAAAGACGTTTTGCAGTTGGCACAGTCAACAGCAGTCATGTTCGATGGGTTTATGGAAACTTATACATAATTTATCCTTCTGAGATGATATTTTGTGCTGAGAATTTTTTCTAAATTCTTTCGAAAATAATTAAAATGCATCATATGACTTGATAAAATTAGGTTTAAATGGTAAATAATCGATGGTGTTGTGTCTAAAATGTTCTGCAACATCCATTATGGTTCTTTCAGGCCATTGATAGGTTCCGTGACAGTTGTGACGATATCGCCTCTCGTTTGGTAACTTTAAAGCAGATATTCGATAAGACAAATTTGTCTTCTAACTACCAAGAAATGGAATTCATGTTGAATACTCATGGCCAAATGTGGTTTGATGTTTGTGACCACATTAACAGGACACTTAAGACTGGTGAAACGCTGCTAAAACTCATGAAGGTAAATTAACATTGATTTTTGGCTTTTGTTTTCTCAATTCATGTTTTATTACTTAAGCATCTTCCCAACCTGAGACTAAAAGCTAAATGCAAAAAAAATGTCATTAAGTAGCCTCATAAAGTTATATAATCCAAAATTGAATTAACTGTGCAATTAAGTGTTGATAACGTAAACATTTTTTCATAGTACAATGTATACAGATGTTTATATACCTCGAGTTTGATTTTTTGCTTGTACTGATATTTACGCAAGTCTGCATTAAGTATTTTATTTTCTAGACCAGCAAAACTATTTCATAGAAAAAAACAACGCCTTGTGGAAATTTTCACTGAAAAAATATGAATGAAATCATTTGCACCAATCACTGCTGTTAAATACACTAGAATAAACTGCAAAAATGAAATTTTCTTTCTGTCGTCAGGCAGCTGTTTGCCTGTATATACCTAAAGCTTATTCTTCCTTTCTATTAGCCCTTCCTTTCTATGTCAATCTGGATTTTTTCTTTGTGATCGAATTTTTTTTCCGACATGAAAATTGTCTGAGGCTAATGGTGTTGCAGTACGCTATATTATACAGCCATGATTACGTTTTACTCAAACTATCTTAATTACATATGAAAATATTCTCTAAGGGCGACGAAGATTCACTTGAGCGGAAAGTGTCTTCTTCCTTGGCAAACTCTCAAAACAGTATTGCCGATTTGCAGCTGCTAGTTGATAAAATGTCTCGAGTAAAGAATAAGTTCGAGGAAGTGTGGCAGTTCCATGAAAGTTGGGTCGCTCAAACTTTGCAGTACAACCTTTTTGAGAAAGAGTTTTGTGAGGTTAGTTATTTGCAAGTAAAACTAGTTATTTTAGGCTAAAAAATCCTGTAAAAAATTTATCGTAGTTTTGACAAAGTTGATTTTGTTGCTTATTTTTGCTTATCACATATAATAATAATATAAAACACTATCTTGGCTGCCTGTTTAATTTATTAACGTTTTCATGTTTGAAAATAGACATGTTTCCATGACATGTCTATTTTCAAAAAACTTGTCGTTTACATTAAATGTGCTTATTAGCGTTTAATGACCATGATCACTTTCATTTATCGTATTTGCTCTTTGCGAAATAGATAAGAAATATGCTTATGGATGCACAGAAAAAACTTTTGAGAATGAAAGAGCTTGGTGATTCTGTCACCACGGCAAAGGAACTGAAGATTGACACAGAATCTCTCAAGGATGAAGCAAAGGTTTGAATTTGTCTCGAATATCGTATTTGTTTGAGCGCCGTCCCCAAAAGAGCGCCTTCAGCCATTGAGCGCAGCATACTCAAACATTATTATTTAAAGAGCGCATCCCCCGAATGAGCGCTGCACTAACTATTTTCAAATGCATGATTAATCAATACACCATCAAAATTGAACAAGACGCTAACACAAAAAAAAACAAATCTAAAATCAACCTCAGAAATTTATTTTCTTGTAAAACATAGCAAAAACGTGTTTAATTGTCGTTAAATATTCTTGTTACAATGCACAATTGAAAGATCTTTTTAAAGAGGTCAACCACTGATTGAGCGCCCCTCCCGAATGCGCCCGCAGCTGTTTTAGGAATTTGAAGAGCTCTTCGGCGGTCAAACAAATGAAAACGTTACTTCAAGGTGTTAGAGCATATGATCCAAGCATGAGCCAATACCAGCGCTGTGGAACTTAAACACGGATGATTTCTTTTATTTAAACAATATTAGAAATCTGGCTAAATGTATGACGTTTTTACGTTGAAATCGTGGATATAGACTGCTCATTTCCTTTGAAAAATGCTTGCAGAGGAACTGCGGAATATCGAAGTTACTTTTATTTTTTTTGGGGAGGTGTGGAATTAAGTTCATATATTCATGTTTTTTGGTCTGTTTGAAAAATGTGTGAACGAAGATGCATTACGCGCTAATCACAGCGTGACGGCCATTTTGTGGATCGAGAAAATGGCAGGTTTTCTTATGGTAGTGAATGCAACTTACAGACAAACAATAATTAATGTAAAATAGAGTTTTTAATCAATATTTTTATAATGATAATTAATGCGCAGCTTGTATTGCAGTAATAAAAATTGCCAATGCAAAAATAAGAATATAATGAAAGAATTTTATTGGCGTTTTGTCGCAACGCGTGACATCTTCAGAATGATGGTATAAAGTTAGAAAATAGGAATATAAATGAAGTATATACAATGTATGAATAAATTAAGTAGTGAAAGAGAGATTAACCAATCATAGGATGCTAGAAGAAGGGTTTTTATTGAGATAAGGCTTAAGATTCGAAATAAGTAAGCTATCGCAAACTAATAGTTCAAGATTGGAAGTAGAATGCGAGGAAGATACTTGTGTTCGCACTTAAGGAGCTTGTCCGAACACAACTAACTAAAATCTGCTCGTCTGCTTTCCCCCACTTATAACTTCGCTTTATTTTGCGCTCTGGTTGCCGACTGCCCAATATCTTTCCTTTCAAAGACCGTATTCTAACACTCCAGCGATCTCATGTGGTTTACAAATTTACGTGTCAATGTGGAGCTTTGTATGTGTGCCAAATACGGTGCTTCTTTTTTTACGAATTTTTTACGAATACACGAATTTTAGGATATTTGGGAGTCTCGCCTTCTGGTTCGTTTTACTTCGAACCTCGAACTACTAGTTCGTGAAAGCTTACTTATTTCGCATCTTCAACATGAACTCAACGAAAACTCTTCCTCCACTCCGTTGTCACTCCTTATGATTTGGTCAATTTCTCTTTTACAACTTAATTTATTCATGCATCGTAAATAATCTTATTTTTACAATTGCAATTCATATTGTTGCAATGAGATGGACATAAATGTCATTATACGATTACGTTTACCGACTGGAAAATCTTTCGCCACTGTCATAACTGATCAATGTTTTTTTGCCAAGTTTTGAGATAAATTAGTGATGAAATTGAATTTATTGTTCTGCAAACTCATAGACTGACCATGTTAACATAAAAAAAAGCGTGCAATGCACCATGGTTGATACACATTGTTTAAATCCTTAGTCACATTGATTTCAATAAAAACTAATGAACTAGAACATGCATATATGATACCCCCACCACCACCACTTATTTATCGTCAGCGATCTTTGTTCTAATAGAGCATACTTTCATCTCAAAATTTTGCGGGGTAAAAACATGTAAGCCCCATTTTTGTTTCAATTCTTATACGTTGAATTGTTTGCAAAACCTAAATGAACAATCTCTGTTAAGATTGTGGAAGAAAAACTAACGGACTTGTGCAAGAGTGGTGATGAAATGATTAATAAAACCAACTACCATTCGAAAATTATAAAGCTGATGTGTGACGAACTTCAGGATTCAAACAAAGATTTTCAGAAGAAAATCGAAGAGCGAATATATAATTTGGATAAATCAGCTGAAGTTCACGAATTCTTAACTCAGGTAAACTGGTGACATAGACACATAGATTGGCATTCACGGGTTAAAAACAGAGAGCTAAATATTGTTCATACGAAGTGCTTTTCCTTAGCTGTTAATGATTTTTGTGAATTGTGAATGAAAGACCATGAAACGTGTTTGATTATTTTTAGTTTACGCTTAATTATTCAGAATTCAATAAGGGACTCGAATTTGTTGCCAACATGATCTGTCAAATATCGTGTATTAGAATGAATGATTCTACGATAAACTAACTTTTATAAGGTTCGTATATGGTGCGATGCCGGACACAACATTCTAGCTTCACAGCATGATCTGGCTTCAAAGATCGTCGAAGATTTTTTTAGCAAGTCACAAGATTTTGATATGAGTAGAATACAAAAGACAGTAAAAGAACTGGGTAACAAAACATTGATGGAACAAGCTCAAATGGCTTTAAAGCGTATCAGTGAAGTAACTGAAATGATAAGGAACAGACTTAACAAAGAGTCAAGGTATACAAACGAATAATTAATTTGAGAATGAAAAAGTGCCTTACTGTTAGTGCACGATTACATATTCAGTGTTTTAGTTTTACATATTAATTAGAATTAAGTCCGTTTTTTATATTTTCTATAGCTTTTATGAGATGCTATCGTTTGATTTTTGACATTGCTGCTTAATATGCCCGTTTAAACTGCTTGTTCTTTATGATTATCATGCTGTTCTGAAAAGTTTAATACTCTCAAATAATGTTATATTGACTTTAAGTTCAAAGAAAATGGCAGCAAAAATACCTGTACAAAGTAGTGCACCTGTACTTTCTTTAAACAACCCAACACATCAAACTGCAAGATCACCTCCAACATCAAAGATAAACGAAGGCGTCAGTCCTTTGTCAAATTTAAAGAAAGGTAAATATGTAGTGACAATTTATGCAGAAATGTTGCAAGGTTTAAAGTAATAAGGGCGGCGAAAGATTGATAATTGGGGGGGGGGGTTGAAAAATTAAAGTGTATAACCGTAATCCCAATATCTAAACAATGAGTGATCTTTATACTGATATAATGAAGCAAACATCGTTTTTGTGCAAATTATCAAATAACAAAATTACATTTGTTTTAATGCTTGCAGTGCTATATAATGTTGCTTTAAAATTCGATTTTGTTTTAAAGAAAATACTAAATTCTATAAATTTTAAATATCAATCTTCTTTTAAAGAAAATACTAAAGGACAAAAATCCAGAAGTTCCAAAACACAACGATGTCCTATATCAATCGTAGTAGCATCTGACTTATCAACTATCAATAACTTTCAAGTTGGACCTGAAGAACGTCCGCGTTCCGTCTTCATGGATAGTCCTCGTGATGTTGACGTGGAGGATGATGCAGTTTTATTGACAAAACGAGCCCAAGTAAGTAACATATCAAACAGATATCGTTATATCACTACTTACCATTATATCAAAGAAATGCGAAATTGATAGATTTAACAATTTAGCCAGTAGGATGAGACCAGCTGTCCAATACACACGTAATTTTTCAACAAATGTAAAAAAATTTGCAAAAGCAAACAGCAAAAGTTTTACAAACGTAAAAAGCGAAACAAACATGTACGTATGCGAGTTGGAGGAAGATCACTCAAATAGTGAGTTTTAATTTCTGGACGACATAATTTTATTGGTTCATTTTTATGACTACTGCATTGTTGCTTGGATTTTTACGATTTATATTATGCCTTCGTTGAGAAAACGCTCATTCGTTTGTTTTCCTTCTCAATCAAGTCATAAAGATCGTACGCATTCATCAAACTCAAAGTAATCTGTTGATTCACATGTATCACACCAAGCATACAATCAGGTACATAGCCAGAGAGATAATTGGGTGGGGGTGCATATTCATATATTTTTTGTTAATCCGTAAAAAACAATGAATTTCAAAGGAAACTTATATGGCATGTCATGCATATGTGAATATTAGCCCCACCAATTATTTTTCCAGCTACGCGCCTACATACAATGTTTTCAAAGAAAGAGTATGTTATTGTAGCTGTGTTTTGCATTTATTTTGACAATAGTCTATTGGGTAATGAAACTATGATGAAAGTGAAAGTACAAATTCAGTTTGTGAAATGCTCTAACTTTATTCTGTTTTGTTTATGCTTATAAAGGTAATGAATGAACTTGTTGAAACAGAGAAAGTTTATGTAAGGGATCTTCAGGACGTGGTGGAAGGCTACATGAAACAATATAAAGACAGTAGTCCCAACATACCACAAGAGCTTAAGAGTAAAAAAGGAATTATATTTGGAAACATTCACGAGATTTATGTATTTCACCGTAACGTTTTTTTACTCGATCTTGAGAAGTGTGCCAATCAGCCTTTGCTTGTCGGCGAAGTGTTTTTGGCGAAAGAAAAGGAGTTTCAAATGTACGCAACGTATTGTAAGAACAAACCAAGCTCAGATGCACTCAAAAATGAGTGCGCTAAGGTGGATTTCTTTGTGGAATGTCAGAAAAGTCTAGGTCATCTGCTACCTTTGCATGCTTACCTTTTGAAACCTATCCAGAGAATCACAAAATACCAGTTGCTCTTAAAACAGATGATAAAGTACTCACAAACGAGGCAGGCGAGCTTAAAAAGTTTAAAAAACGCTTTGAAAGCGATGATGAAAGTTTTACAAAATTTAAATGACGTTATGCATGCTATGTACATTCGTGGCTTCCTTGGAAGTTTAGGCCGTCAAGGCAAGCTTCTGATACAGGATAGTTTTTATGTATGGCAGTCTAGAAAGAAATTCATCGCTCAAGCTAAAGGCAAACCTCGACAGGTTTTCCTTTACGAGAAGGTCATCATCATTACGAAGCGTGACGACGAAGCTCCAAAGGACAATGTATCGTATCAATTCGAAAGCAGCTTGGAGGTAAGAGTACTTAATTTTTGACCCGGTAACTTAACAGGAAAAATTACTGTCCTTGAGGCCCGTTCACACGATCCGATTTGTCGTATCTGATTTTGTTGGATCCAAAAAAACGGATCGTGTTAACACATATGAAGTGAGCTTCCGACAGTCGAATCCTTCATTCTGAAAAATCGGATGAAAATAGAGCTTGCTCAATTTTCATCCAACAAGATGGAAGAAAGCCGCGACTAGTCCCGGACCTCTCACTCTTCATACTAACCAAATTTCATTAGGTGCAAAACATTACAAGTGAAAGTCTTGAAAACAAGAACAAAAATACGCAAACCATATCCATAAATGTACTGGTGTCATAAATGCCTTCTCCCACGACTACAAATATCTAAACGAATATAAATATCAACAAAATTATCGGACCGTCTGAACAAGCAACCAAAAATCGGAACCGAAACAATCGGATCCGACAAGTCAGATCGTGTGAACGGGACTTTAGTAACGCAAATGGCTGTATTCAAGGCTTCCACCATATTTAATTCGTTCCCACTTTAAATCAATGATTATATGAGCAAGTTTTTTAAAAGGATAACAGACAGAGCTTTTCTCCCATGTGATTGCATAGCGTGTGATTTCTTAACTTCATATTCTTTCTTTGCTATCGTGTGCTACCATGACTTCTCAATTCTGGTTGGTTTAGAACAGTGCAATTCATCGTAAATACCAGTGCAAAAAAAAGGAAATACAGTGCAATTTATTTTTGAAAAATGCGCTCCTGATTGGTTCGTCGAACAAAGAAATGATCTTAGAGACAATAAAAATAAACCATTTCAAAGGCGGGAAAGCTAAATTACTGTAAACAAAGCAATTATAAGGGCTAGCGTAAGTTTTAAGCAGATTTTCTTTGGCGAACGAGTTTACAGTTCACCGTTTGCAAGATGTTTCTGGATGAAAATATGAGCTCGCAAGTTTTTCAAAGACTTCAAACTGCACTCGTCCTTCGGACTCGTGCATGTAATAACAACAAAAGAAAACATGATTTTGAAGTATGTAAATTACCTCTTCCCCAAAGTCTTGTCTAACACAAAGGCTTCAACAAACGAGGACTTTACCATTCTAAAATAAATGTTGAAAGAAAGTCAACTGCTACAGTTTTATAAGATCCTTTATTTATGACAGTAAAAAAATGTGTCGTAGCTATAAGCACTTTAAAAGGTCCAACTCGTGATCGTTCATAAGCAAAACGTTTGGCACAGTTTACATGCTTACAGCTTTTTACGTACATGTGACACCTACAGTATTTAACACATGCAGGGATATATAAATTATAATCCGTAATCACAATTGATTTCAATATGTAGAAACAATTAAAATAGAATATGTATATGTGAATACTATTCTCCTCCTGTGCCGAGTCATCGATCTTCCGCAGTCCCTAACCATGCAACAAATTTTCTCTCTTTCTCGTATAGAATCACAATCAAACTTCAACTTAAGTCCCATCTGTCCGAGTTTAATTGTTGAAATCCACCTTCTTTTACTTGTATTTTGTATTCGTGCTTTCACAGTTAATCGCCGTTGGTTTAACTGAAACAGTTAAAAAAGATCCTCTAAAGTTTGGGCTCTCACACAACAAATCACTATTTTACACTTTACAGGTAAGTTTTTTTGCACTGTTTACTTATTATATTTATACAGATATACTTTGCACATCAACATGCATGGTTGAACGTACCTGTAAAATTGTTTTATGTTGTGAACTTGAACGTAATAAAAAAGTCCTACGACGTTGGAAATGTTGCTCGTCATTTACAGAACAGAACCAGTTATTCTGCACGTTTTAGCACTAGCTAATTACTAACAGATTGTAATAATTTATATTGTAATTTGTACATTATAGGCACCATCAGAAGACATAAAAAAACACTGGGTGCAAGAAATTCGACTCTTACTTCAATCACAGTTCTCTCAAGTCAAAAGTAAATTAATACTTCTCATTCTTTTTATTTTTATTTTAATTTAATTTACAGGTATGACTTGACTATATTCATAAAACCACTTTTGACAAATTTATAGTAATATAAAAGTTTCTGCTGTTTAAGTATTTTTGTATTTTAACAGTTAGATAGAGCGTAGTGTAGCCAATAAAATTAAAGCATTTGCATGCAATAGAATACTCAATACAAGTATGATTTTGATAATACTATTTAGGGTTATGTAGAACATATATAACTGTTGAGATATGCTGAGTTATTTCATGTTCATTTTTTGCTCTTAGTTGGCTCAGCTTTTAAAATTGCGTGTGCTTCAATGTTTTTACATTGTCAACAACAAAGCATAAATTAAATGCACATATTTTGAAGACAGTGTTAGTCGTTTATAACTGGTTTTTGTTTGTAGAATCTAAATCGCTATCGATGCCGCTGGAGTTAAATCATAAAGTGGACCATTCGTTAAGTAGGTAAGAGCTAGCCTTGGAAAGATGTTAACGTATTTTTTTACTTTATCCTGCGCCTGATACGATCTTCTTCACTTACTTAAATGGTCTGTTTAAGTCTAAGTAGCTATATACCATTGTGCAAACTTCGGGCTATCGGCGTATTAGCTCGCGTACCTATATTTTTGTACTTGCACGCGAAGTTTTCTGTTTGCAACAAGAAGATTTTTATCTTTTATTGCGCCTTAGATAACAAATTTTAAATATATATTTAGGGCAAGTGTCTGATTGCTTGTGTTACTTTCATTTAAGGGTTTCCAATAACAATGACGAAGCGTGCAATGATGTTTTGACGAAAAGCATCGAGGGGAATGATGAATACAATAACCGTGATGAAAACGATTGGTCTGACGATGAGGATGAAAACGCTATGGTATTAGAATTATGATTGTTACAAAATGTCACTGAAAAGCATGCCAGTTAACTGTATCGTAGCCAGTCTGAACGTTTTAGTTCTGCCATTAACATTATAGAAAAGTTTAGTTCTGCCATTAACATTATACAAAATAAAGTCGAAAATTTACAGTTTACTTCTCGTCTTGTTTTGATTCATATTTTGCAATCTCAAGATGTCTTGTTTCTTCGGAATTTGTTTTATATTAACATTATCGTTATTAAAAATTCATTAGAATTATATAAATTCGTTTTTGCAGTATGTGAACATTGAGTAGGCTGTAAAAACTTATGAAGCAATATTAGGATTATCATGTAAGAAAGATACTTTCATCACCACAAAATCGTTTCAGTGTGTAACTTAAAACTCTCTCACATGAGTGTCTATAGCCGCTTAAAATTCAGGGGCGGATTTAGCTTCAAGCAAAATAAATTACTTTACCGCATCGATTAGTTAACTTTTATTCTTTAGAAAATTATAACCAATGACTTTGTTATAAAGGTGTTTTGAATTTAAAATTAGCTGTGATGATTTATTTTGCCTATAGCTGGATCCGCTACTTCTTAAAATCGGAGGAAACCATCATGCCATTCAGATAGAGTCATAATAAAAAACTATGTATATACAACCCATTTGGATTTAGTCAATTTAAGATGTACTAATGTCTATTTCTTTTCAATAGAATAGCAAAGAGCGGTATTTTGGAGCACCTGTTATTTATCGTGGTATTATGGACTACACATCCACTGAAACAACAGAGCTCAGCTTTTTGCATGGTGAGATTTTACATGTCCTAAGAGTTGGCGACGGTGGATGGTGGTACGCAAGATCGCAAAAGACGTCTGACGAAGGCTGGGTTCCAGGAAGTCATTTGGAAAAATGGGATGAATATATGCAATGATTTTAAAAGTTTAATTTGAAGTTGAACATGATATATATGCTCAATATTAGCCAAGTATACCAATAATGAATTTTCTTTTACAGCAGGTCTTAACTAATTTTTCACTTCACACTAATTTCGAACAATTTTCAGTTTTAATTTTCCTACTTAATAATATCATACGTATGAATGGAAAAAATAAACTGCTATTTTTATAGAAAAAAATTTATGCCTATATTTTTCATCTTGGGGGCTGATTACATGAGCCTAGTAGCCGGGATTCAGCCGAGCGTTAAATGATTTTGGCAATTGGAAACGATTCAATACTTATCATCCGATAAATCTTCTCAAGCGATTTCACAATATTCTGATTTAATAACTTCTCAAAACATTTAAAATTGAAACAACCAATTTGAGAATTACAACCAGAATGACGTGTGGTGCTTCGCAAACAGCTGTAATTTTTAACCTTGAAGTTTTGGCTCTTTTCAATCTCTTGAAATCATCAGGCTAGCTCGCTATCCGGGCCAGCTCGCCTCCATACAATCAGGCCCTTACAGACGACAAAAACATTAAAATAATGCAAAAGACAGTCCACTTTTGACACAAACTTCTATAATGAATATCCAACTATTAAAATTTATCTTTTTGAAAGAAAGATCTTAGAGTGTGTGTGTATAGAACGACGCTAATGAGTGCTAAACCCGTACTGCACAGAAAATGATAGTGTAGTTTTTAGTTGGATATAAACCTAAAACTTAAAGAATTTATTATTTGAGGAATTAACTATTTGAGGAATTACCTTAGTTGAACTAAGAATAGAATCACATTTATTACCCCGTAAATTAGTTTTTCTTGGTAGTAAAAGCTTTTGTCATTAATATGAAAGGTGGAGAAGATGTTTGCGATCAACTAAGCCACGTATGCGCTCTGCGTACCTATTCTTAAGTACTTATGCGCCAGATTTTCTGCACGCAAAAAGTTTTCATATTTTATTGCGTCATAAATAATAAATTTTATTTATCTTATTAATTTTTTAGAAAATTTATTGTTTTTCACAGACTTCGCATTTTCTAAAATGGGCATTTCTTCAAGGAAAATGGGTAATTCTAAAACCTAAAAAGGGCAGCTCTAAATATTAAGTCTTGTAGAAAATATGTTGAATTACTCAAACATAAAATAGTCAAAACATTCATATTTATTATCTTATAAACAAATGACCTCGATGTATAAATAAACTAATACTTGAATATACTTTTTCAAGATAACGTCTTTTTTGATGTGTGTCATATTAAATACGCTGCAAAAAGTTATGAAGCAATTTTAGGACAAAAGATTATCATCTATAGTGAAGATACTTTTATCACCACAAAACGTTCCAGCCTATAACAAAAATCTCTCACATGAGTGTTTAAAGCAGCCTAAAATATGACAAAACCATCATGCCATGCTGACGATGCTGATAGAATCATAATACCAAACTATCTATCTACAACCTATTGCTTAACAATATTCGGATTTCGTCAATTTTCCAATGTGTATTTCTTTCGATGCAGAATAATAAAGAACCGTACACTGAGGTCCCAGTTATTTATCGTGGTATTATACATCCACTTGAACAGCAGAGCTCGGTTTTTCCATGGTGATATTTTATATGTCCTAAGAGTTAGTGACGGAGGATGGTGTTATGCGAAATAACAAAGGACGTCTGTGGAAGGCTGGATTCCAGGAAATCATTTCGAAAAATAGGATGAAGATATGCAATAACATTAAAAATTCGATTTATAGTTGAACATGATATATATGCTTAACATTGGCCAGGAAAAAACAATATCAACAATGAATTTTCTTTTAAAGCAGGTTTTAATTAATTTTTCCCTAAGGCAACATTTTGAACAATTTTCTGCTTTGATTTTGAACGATTGAATAAATGAATACACGAATGAATAGATAAAATAAAATGCAAAAGTTTGGTGGCTCAATTTTTCACTATAGAGACAACAAAAACATTAAATTAAGGTTAAAAACAATTAACTTTTGACATTAAAACTACCCAACAAATATCAAACATATAAAAAGAGCGTCGAAAGATATGCCTATAGAACGCAAATGTGTGCTGAACTTGTACATGATTTAAAATATTAATGTAGTTTTTAGTGGGATGTAAACACCAAGAATTAATTGATCTATAAGTTAGAGGAAATTTTGTAAGAAAAAGCTTTTGTCATTAATATGAAAAGTGGAGGAGGTGTTGGAGCTGTATACATCTCAAAGTATTGTTTCGTTTTGTAAGACTGCACAATCCACTTTCAAAATGCACAGTTGCACAATGCATGAAGTACGATTCTTAAGGATATTGGAATAGATGCGAATATTTACACCATATTTTATACATAGTGCGCTGGCCATGTATTATACATATCATTCCAATTAAAAAAAACATGGCGGCAGTTGTAAGTAAAAAAGATTTCCAAAATTGCAATCGTGTGAAATTAAAGAATTAATAAAGAATGCAAAGAATAAAATCAAAACAGCTAGCACTGTTTTTTTTTGTGAATGTTTTTCACAGTTAGGCTGCGTAACAAGGCTTTTTTGAAGCGATGGAGAGTAAACATCTCTAAGTATATTATTACTCAGTAACAGTAGTTTCTCGTGCAATTACGTGTAATCATGCACCCGTGAGATTTGCTGCAGTCTTTAAAAACTCACGCGTGCATGTTTATCCGTAATTGTACTCGAAACTATTTTATTATCTATACTAATATAAATTGAGTAAATTTTTCATTTATAATATTAAGAATAATATGATACTCGGAATAATAGCGATTCTCGCTACACTAAACAATTAAAATAGAGCTATATACACACGACAGTGTCCTTTATCTAACAATTCAGTCTATTTGAAACATTATTGAGTGAACGAGGTGACTATCCTTGTGAACTGTTCTTTCGAGAGATCATCGGGCAAACAACAAAATGAAATCAGTTCCACTTTTAGTTGATTCCATTTATGCATGCGATTGGTAACTAAATTCCAATAGCATTTCTTCACTGATACCGAGATTTTCATTTTGCTCTGGCGTGCGTTCATAATGCATGGTTTTCATGTTTGGATCATCTTCGGGTGCGTACACATTCTACGAGAAGAAGCGTGGGCATGTTAAGCAATAAAAATTGGTTTTTCAATCATTCTATCCATGCATGCAGCAAATGGACCGACATTTTTGGTCAATTATCTGCGCAATAAATCAAACAAAAAAATCGCCGCAAACACTTTTTAGGGTTAGGTAAGTAGCTAATGAGTTCATGTGAGTTTCTTTGGCGTACATGGCAAGCAAAAACGTTTGCTATATCTTGGTTTAAAAAATTAATATTTAACCAACTGCAAAATATTGACAGCCCTACTAGCGTAACCTGAGGCAAAGTGCGACACCGGGGCAAAGTGCGACATTTCCCATTGAATATAAAATATCTGAGCCGTTAAACGAAGCTTTAGCTTAAGAGTCAGTCAGTACCTTCCCAATGCAGCATGTATGTCATGTAAGCAAAGTAAAATTTAAGTTATTGTTATAAACGGAGAAAGTATGCCGGCCGTCAAATGAAGACACTTTACGAGCGAATTCTAATTGTTTCATTGAGTTGACAGGTATGTTGAAAGATATTGTATATGGCAGATGCTGGTGATAGTTATAGTTTGGATCTTGTTGCTTGAACTGAAACATCGTTTCATTAAAAAATGCCTTAGACGACATTCATGTTTGAGATTTAAAAACTGTACTCACATGGGGAAAGTGAGACACTCGCCATATTGAGTAATGATCATAAGATAATATGTGTCCAGTGTCCTTTAATTTGTGTTTTTGCATGTATGTTGTTATATTTAAAGTGCTTATCTCACAATTTTTTTTTCGAATTTTCTGATTGAGGTAAAAAAATCATTGTAAAAGTTATTTTACAATTTTCTGATTGGTGGCTTCGTTTATGAGATAAATGCGTTTCTTTTCTCAAAATCGGCAATAATGGAGAAAATTGCTGCGCGTTCAATTTGCTTGATGAGAGCCTGAATCGAGAAGTATGTGACGTAACATAAGGACAGGAAGTTTTTCTGAAGTGCGATTTTTGCTATAATTTCTACTTTACCTACTACGGCTCTGCATCAAAATGCCTGATAGATGTGCAGTTTTCGGCTGTTCAAACTGAGAAAAATCTGCGGAAGGAATTTCTCTTCACCGTATACCATTTTACGGTGATGAGCGTCCTGAAATGAAGCGAAGACGTAAAATCTAGGTGAATTTTGTTGCAAGAAAACGCGCTCAATGGACACCGACTAAGTATTCGGCTGTTTATTATGGTGATGGCAAAGTAATTTGGGCAAAGTTCAAATCTTTCCTGAGTCACATAGTAGACAAGCACACCAATTTGGATGATCCACTGTTTTCAAGTTGTTTTCATGGCCCTGAATTGAACCAAAGGAATATTTGTTAGAAGGTTTGTGAAGGCATTATTTAAAGATAACTTCCCTAACAGTTTATCATCATTCTTTGTTGTAATGTTTAAGGTTCAGTTGCTCATGAAAAGCTTTGTGCTAAATTGTTTAACCTACAGCTGATGAAGTCAATTCACCAGGCTTCACCAGTTGCTCAAACAAGTTGTTTGGAAGGATTCCATTCTGTCCTGAATCATTTTGCTCCAAAAATGATTCATTATTCCTATGTTGGAATGTATTGCAGGTGGGCGAAAATTTCCTATATGACAATGTTAGTTGTTTTGCAACTTCCACAAGTCTTTATTGTATTAGACACATTTTGGCATCCATCCACTTCAACAACAACTTAAGGCATGATGTAAAGATGAAGAATGATGGCACTTTCTAAATAAATGTGGTGTATCCAAAGTTTAAAAATGGTGAAGGAACTGTGAGGGATGTCAGAGTTAAGCCGAAATTTGGTAAGTTGTTGCTAAATGTGTTGCTTTGCATCATTTCATAGTATTGAATACGACAATAATTTCTTTTTAGAGTATGTGGATGAATTATTTGAGAGTGTGATGCTGTCAATAAAAGACAAAGACGCATTTTCAAATTCACAAAATCTTTTGAAAGAAATGTCCCCACCAACAATGAATGTCATGCTGCAAAAGCAACCCAGATCTGAGGTGCTACTAAAACAGGTCTGTCGAAAATGCATTGTGCTCAATGATGTCCCCTCCTCAATTCCAGGTAATTAATAATGATTATATAACATGCTGTAGCTAAACATGGTTTGAAAATCATTTTAAATAATAAAAATGTTTTTGTTTCATGTCAGCAGCTACCAGTGTGCCATTCAGCTGTCAGTCAAAAGTGGCAGTTTCAAAAGAAAAAAGTCAGCCAAAATGTTTGACATGCAAGAAGCCAATGAAAGGTCACAAACATGTGGCAGATTGCCCAAAAAATAGGAAAACTTAATTTTCACATCACTCATTTATTTCATTTTCTTCGTACCCTCTAAATTCCAACTTTTTATCATTAAATTTTGATCTTATTGCATGGTATGCACATGCTGGTAATGGTCTTCTTTCTTCTCCTAAGCATCCATAAATCATAGATGTGAATTCTCTGTATGCAACACATCGTAAAAACCTGAATATAAAGCCAAATCGTTACTAATGTGTCATAACACTAAAATATACTTAAATACTGGGAAATAACATAATATGCTATCATACATGTTTTCAGATCCTGTTTCTCTGTATCGTCTTTGTTCTCTGGTTTTGTATTTCCTAGCAGCCATTTTTAGCGACCACTTTTCCAAACAAACTGGTCTGAAACCTGGGTGTAGAGTGACACAACATGGAATAGTTGACAGATCTGCCAGAACCGACTGGTGTGTTAAGCTTTCAGCTACAGACTTAAGTTCTTGGCAGCACCAGGCCTCTAGAGGATTCTGAAGAAGTGTAACTTGACAAAAACCACACTTGCACCTGATCAATAAAGAAAATCACATTAAAAAATTGTAATCGAGCATCTTTTAACAATTTTTTACCCAAAAGTAAATAAAAAAAGCGATGGTAATCTTGAATAGAAAATTGCACGTTTATGCCTATATTTCATAACTTGAAACCTGAATTGAAATACATTTCATAAGTTGAATTGAAATTAGAAATTTTATTACTCACCAAGAACTCAACTCAACTCTGTGATCAAGTCTTTTTTGTAGCATTTCAAGTTGCTTTTTATGTTCATTTGACTTTTCCACGTACTCTTCATACCATGCTTGTTCGGCCATTGGTTCATCAGCGTATAGATAGGACTTGGATTCGTTGTGATTTTCATCTATTATATTATATTCCTGGTCATTAATGTTCCTTGTTTCATCTTCGATGACATAACCGGGAATATAATCATACTCCGAATCACATTGCGAACTATGAGAGCTTTCCGAATCAGAATTCAACTCCGCCATCTAATCATTGATAACAACAAGCCCTTGACTTGTTTCTTAAGTTACGTCACAGAAACTTGATCCAGGCCCTTTGCCAATTATCAACTTTTACTGCCAAATTTCATATTTGATCAATAATAATTCGAAAACAATGCAGCGCATGAAAAAATTGTAATATAAGTTCTAGATTACTTTTGAAGAAGCAATACGAAAATTCGAAAAAAAAAATTGTGAGATAAGCACTTTAAGAGACTATAAGGTCAATGAATAGTATTTTCCCAAACAGATTATTTCTTTGCTTAAATATTCACTGCCCCATGATAGAAATATGTATTTGTAATGTCTATATTGATTTTTAGCACAATGAAGGACAGGGCCGAAACTTCTGGGAGGGTTTGGGGAGACAAACCCCAATCTGTCCAATCTTTGGTCTAGTCAGGCAACATACAGGAATTTGTCGGGCAAATTTTTGAAAAATTGATAAAAATACAATATGTACTACACGACAGAAAACACAAGGTAATATTATAAAGATATAATTTTCATAATTACACAGTTGCAGAGTTTTAAAAAGTAAATCAGATAGGGTTTTGTACTCGTATATATCGTAAAAAATTGGAGATAAAGCACTACGTAATATTTGGCGCATGACGTGTCAACATGATATGTGGAAATTCTGTTTAATTTTACAGAGGGAAACAGTTGTTTTGTAAGCTCAACGAAAGCAGCCAATTTTGCAACATTATATTCTTTCATCCGGAAAGTTTAAACAATTATATTCACAATATCATCCGTGTTGTTATCCGTGTAAAATTTATTTTATCCTAAATCCAGTTCACACGACATAAACTAACCTAGGTTCAACCATGATTCGCTTGGGTTACTTTTTTGCGTATACTGAACACTAAAAAAAATTTATTCCTTCAATCCACTATTATATGTTAAAAAAAGGTTCCTATCTAAGTGTCTCACTTCGCCCCAGTATCTGGGGAAAGGGTGTGTTTTTGAAACTTGCGAATATGTGATCGAGTCAAAAAGTATAGTAATATGGTATACGTCTTGAGGATATGTGTCCATTCTTGGATTGAGACAAAACTCCAGGGAATTATCGAACAACGTGGCTCGCCTACGATGGCTGGTGCCCACAATAGCATTAATGAATATTCTTTTGTATTTTACCACTAACATGGCGGCCATGACGTAACATGCAATTCACCTATTATGCGAATTTCAATTTGATGTTGACTCTGGACTTAAACATGCAATACATTTCACTTCCTCAAAGGTATCTCGCTACAGATTTTGGAATACCTTGTACACCATTATTACCAAATCAGAGATGAGTCGTTCTGCTCAGAGCCCGGTATCGAGAGAGTTGGGACACGTATTATACTCTGCATTCTGCATGATTATTGGGTAAATACGGCCACGTGGGTCTTTCGCCGCCATGTTTGTTCCAAGAGCGCAAAAGAAAACTAGAGTTTACATGGAGTTCAATTACAAAAAGTTCCGTTTTATGTTGTGTGTTTATTATACCAATGGAAGCAACAAAGGATATGAAACGTACGCGGTCCCTGGTAGCAAACACAATATTGAAAAGCGTTAGAAGTGGTTCTGTGCAATTAAAGGGAAAGATTTCAATCCCATTCACTGTGGGAGATTGCATTCCAGTCGCGTATGTCTAAGTATTGGACATGGATTTTGATTTTGTAATGTATTTCTGATATATATTGGAGTATCTATTCGTACAATTCACACGAATGCATATTGACCACTCAGCTTTTAGGCATGCCATATAAATTTTGCTCTATGGTTACATTTTGAAATTAAAATTTAATTTTGTTTAATACAATGATTGATTACTTCTGTCAATTTTGCATGTACTAAATAAGTCATTACATAAATGTAAAGAATACGGGGTGATCCAAAAGGGACACTATATAAATTATCAATGGACAGTTTGAACACATAGAATTTCACGTACATTGAGATAATTTTTATTGTCTGATGAAAACCTGTGTTACATGGCTTGCTTCTTCATTAAAAAAATTATTGGTCATATTAATTAAGATCAAGCAAATCAACATCATAAAACAGGCATATGAACAATATGAAAGTTAAGAATGTTACTATGGATATGGGAGTTTTATAAGAGTTTGGTATATCTTGTAAACTTTTAGAAATTATGAACAGTTGCTGTTATCCAATTCATGGCCCCATCCTGTTGTTGAAATCTAATTCATGCCAAATGTTCCATTCTTGTTGAAGAATGCCTGAACAACTTAACGCGAGATTAAGTTATGTGGTTTGTGATGACAGCGTACTCAGGAATGTTGTTACAATGTGAAATGTAGAAAGAGCTAGTAAACCATAATGCAATTCATGACCTGACAGTAGAACAGCACTTGCATAGTAAAGTAATGGAAATCCAGCGTGCATTTTAGCAAAATAAAAGAAAGTTTTGCCAAGAATCAATTGTCATGAAAAACATGAGCAGCAATTCAATGTGTGATTCAAGAGGAAATCATCAGTAAAGAAGCATCAGCAACAGCTTGGTTTTGTAATTAAACTAGTTTTTGACATGACTTGTTAACATTAAGGTAGCAGAACCAGAGCCCTCTATTTGTAAGTTGGAACACCGGAAGTAAAATTGCTTAGCGTTCGCCATTTTGTTCCAAAAGCCAGCAAACACAATATTGCGTTACATGGAGAGAAGACAAATTTTCGTGTACGTGGCTTTGGCACAGTGTAAAATCACATTTAATCTAATCAACCATTACACTTAAGGCAACTTATCCGAAACCCGGATCCCTTGGTGAATTTTGGTTCATATGGCAGCATTATTTTTATTTTGTGAACAATGTAATAATTGACCAGTTGAATGAAGCCACTAAATGTAGATCTTAATACGTGTTTTAAGAAATTAAGAAGATTTTGCGAAGCTTCTTTGGTTATATTCTTCCTTGCAACGAGCTTTGCTTTTAACTCTTAGAGCCATAACTCGCAGGAAATTCTGTTATACGTATTCATTTACATGTGATTGTAAATCATCGTGGTAAATCGTTGAAGTGTCTCGCGTACTTGGAGCACGTTCAAGTTCGTCTACAAAAGAGCAGTCCTCAGTTTTCGGAGCGACCACTTTTTGTAGTAGTGTTATAAATTCCAGCTGAACAGGAGAGCATTGAAATTGTTATTCCGTCCTACCACACAAGGTAACTAATCGAATTAAGAAAATTCCATGCAGTTGATTAAGATATCAAGGTCAACACTTAATCAAAGTTTTTCTCGTTTCTATTTAGTGGAAAATCAGATATTGTGTGTATAGCTCCTTTGATTAACTGTGCCAGCATTTGATCAGTAATGGGATTCATCATGAAATATCCTATTAGATAAAACCAAAGCTTCTTTAGTCCAACCACCATGAAAATTAAGTCATTAGTTACAATACTGTCTTTTTCCTCTCCTCAAATTAACCCATAGTGATGCCAGAAGATTATTTTGTTGTTTTTGTCCCATATCACCTCCTTATCAAAAGATATTTCAATAAATAACATCGCACAATCTTTATTATATCTTCATAAGAGGCTTTTCTTCAGACTTGTAACGACATTCAATAATAAAAAAACATGTTCAAGGTTGATCGACGCTGCCCACAAACGTATATGCAGTAAGTGGTCATCATAGTTAGAAAAATCGTTCTTACAAATGCATAGTATGGAAGTGCGTTATATTGACAAGTATTCGACCTTTTTACTGTACCTTGATGTTTTTTCATCTACCAGAATGTTTGCTTATTTACAATTAGTTATCCTGTTATTGAGTATACTGTTGTAAAACGTATTTATAGTTTTTGTTTCTGAACTGAGAGTCTTGATCATATTTTCCACGCTTGTAAGAGTTTTAATCTTTCTTTTCTTTCGTTCCAAAAACTTTTTCAAAAAAAGAACGAGTTTCATTGTGAAAGCACGGCAGTCATGGCTCAGAACACATCTGGTGACAGCACAAAGAGTGCAATACACAGGGCAACAACGTTTGTTCAAAAAGTATGTTTTAATGCTTTTAAACCGCCTTTTGATAGCTACTGTAGAAACAGCCAACTTGCATAATTTAATAACTGGCCCCAAAGCTGCAGAAAACAGTCTTGGCATCCCGTAATTTCAGATCGCTCACATTCATAACTTTGCATCTTGTTCTTCCAAAAAAATTGTATTGTGATGATGTTTGATTAAATTCAAGACCTTCATAATCTAATCCATGTAAAAACTATATGAAATCATTCATGAGGTAACACAACGTCCAGTTGATGAAACTGACCATAACTGTGGCGACTGAGCAATAGGAAAAAACTACTTTATCACATTAAATTTGAAAGAAATGTTTAACCTCACCATTTCTGTCAGATGGTGAGAGCCACCCTTCGACCAGAAAATGGTGTGAAAAATCTGAAAATTCTCCAAAACCTGCATTAAGCTTTATTCAAAAAATTATATCACACTTTCCACACATTGAAAGAACACTTCACTGAAACTTTACCGCGCGTATTAAAAGAATATGATACAACGATATTTATATATTTTTTAAGACCCTGGACACATTTTTGACCGTAAAAAATGACAACATATCGTCTACCAAGAACGAGAAATAATGTGCTTTGTAAGCCAAGACCGCTGTTATGTTGGAAACAAAAACATATAGTGACTAACCACAGAGCACACATGTCTTGCGACTAGATTATAATATTTACAAACAATTAGCAGTTGTTGCGATGAAATTGAGTATGATGTCAGCAATTATTCAGACCGAGGTCGAAATTATCTGCCGAAATAATTTCGAAGCGAAAGCAGACTTCAATGCTTGTTTCACAATACAATGATAAATGACGAGTTTCGACATTAAAGAGTTTTCACCGTTTGCTTTCGTCTTTTTCTCCTAAATACTCCATAAAGACTCTCCTACCAAACATTGCAACCATTTCCGTGTTTTTTACGTCTTTCTTCTCAATAATTCGAGCGAGAACAGTTCATTTTGCATGTGGCAAAATATTGAGAATTATCTGTAGGCTGTTAGTCAATCACAAGCGAGATTGCATCAAAAATTTATCATAATAGTTACTAAACCAAAAACTGAACATAATTGCCTTCGAAATGTAGAACAATCCCTCGTTAAAGAAGCGCGCGATTTTTTTCGGAGAAATATTGGACCGAGATGCTTTTGTACAGACCGAGCCAATACAATACGGCAACAATGATCAATGAGCTCTGGACTGATGTGTAGGCACATTGCAACTTTTCCTTTATTTACGGGTCAATTCCTTACCAAGTCATTGTTTAATAATTGCTATAACTAAAAGACATACCTGTATATAACTGTTACCAGCTGGATCATCCAAAATAACGTGAATATTCTGTCTTTTTCCTTCGATAACCTAAAATATGACAGACAGACAAATTAATCAATAATCTATATCAATTCGCTCTTGGTCGTCGAACTTATAAAAGCCTTTTCATATGCGTTGACACCAAAAAAATGAGAGTAAAAATTAGCCGTCATTCATAGTTTTTAATACGAACGCGTTCAGGTTATGTGGCAAACAAGAAGTTTCCACATTCACTTTATGGCAAACAAGAGGTTTTTTCACATTCACATTCATTAAAACGTAATACATTTCTGTTGAAGAGACTGCCTACACACGGCAGAGAATCTGCTATTTCCGTTCTGATGTGTAATTGATGTTGTAAATGATGTGTAATTGTTTGTTAAAGATTTGTTTAAAAGTTGCTAAGAAGTGGCGTACCAGAATCGTTAATTGGGGGGGGGGGCACAAACTCATACATGCATGTCTTAATCCGTTAAAAACAATGGATTCCAAAGGAGCTTAATGCAGCAGAACATGAATATGTGTCCCCCCCCCCCAAATTAATGAGTCTGCTATGCCACTGTTCGTGATTTTTCATTTTTTGGTAAAGTGAAAAACGTGCACCTCGTATTTCATGAGTATTTTCGAGTCCTCAATCTCATCCGTGTTAAATGACGTATCATCTTTTACTTGTGTGTTTCATGTCTTCATTTTGGTAGTACGCACGGAAGATGATTGATGACTAAAGCGACGATTACTAACGCTTAAACATTACGTTTCATATTTTTGCCCTAGTGCGATTCAATTGCTTTTTTTTTCTCATACTGTAGCGCAAGTTAACTTGTTTTTCGGTAGCAAAATTCTCACTCAAAATTAATTATTATTACAACAAAAATTTATCGTTAGATAACTCGAAGACCAAACACCTATTAGCACAAAATTTTTGCAAACCATGCGCGCTGATCAATTTAGCAAATGTCTACGTTTCTTTGATACACCCGTAATTACCTCATTAAGCTTTGTGAGAAACTTTTTTAGTGAATTATTCTCTGATGATGAATCGCCAAGGAAGAAAGGATTTCGTTCTTCAAGCTATATTTAACAGAAACATAATAGGCATCACCTAAAATTGAAAAAGAGGGGATGGGGTATGGTAAGGAGGGGTGAAAGGCGAATCTACTTTGTTTACATATAATTATAAATTTGCATGACAGAAAACAAAATTTTCTGGCCATTGTCAGCCCAAAATAAGCTAATGAAATAAAACACATGCGTAGTTCTATAGAAAATGAGATGAAAGGATTTTGTGATACGTTTATAAAACTGTTGAGTTAATTACGACCCAGGAACGGATAAAGGAACTGGAGTTAAAATAACAACGATACCAAAACCATAACGTTTGAGATTGAAGAAAATGCTTATTGGCATTTTCTGAAATGGAATTGTTAACTCACATAGCAGGACAAAGTGAATCTACGATACAGAAATTTGATTATTTTTCAATAACAATTTAAACTAATAATAAACATCATAAAGCACACTCTGCAATGTTTCCAAACTTATAAACAGGGTGTATCAAACTCTTAATGGGAGACGTCGCGAAAGTCATCAGCTCACAAGATCAGCAAAAACCTTTGGTAGTTGGACTTCCAATGGTTTTTTCAACAGTAAAGTTTTCTAAAAGTATATCCATTTTTAGAGTGAGAATTGTGTTACCGAGAAGAATTTCTGAAATAGCTTGCGAAAAAAAACGACAAAGCTAAAAATCAATTGGAGCACGTAAGGTTAAAATACGATACATTTTGTTCAAGTTTACAAATTTGGCCAAATCGTACACGAACGCTAGGCGTCCATTTTGCATTGTTCCTTTTCAATTGCCATTTTCTTAAAGCCTTCGTCAATTATTCATATCTACATCAATTTAAGCTCACATTTACGCATAATTGATGAGGATTATAACAAAATGGCATTTAAAAACGAAAAATCAGAAATAACCTGCGATTTGAAAGCTAAGCATTCGTGTACGCATCATCTAAATTTCATAAAACTTTGACTGCTTGAACAACAGGGGTCTTAATTTAACCCTCTGTGTTCCACTCGCTTTGTACTTGTGTCATTTTCGTGCGCAAGCTATTTCAAAAGGGCTTCACGGTAACAAAATTTTAAAAATATTATTTGTGCGATATTTGTATTGCTGGATGAGCCAATGGAAGTCTAATTACCACCTAAAGTTTTAGCAAATCTTGGGCTGTGATGACTTTAGCTACGTTCTCATTAAAGTTCAGTTTTTTATATATCGTGTATATAAAGAGTTATGCGCGTTCGATGTTTTTAGGCATGCGAAAGGAAATAAGAACTATCAGAAAATTGTGCAATGTTGGTTTAAGGAATAGCTGAGTGGAGATTAGGTATAGACTGTGAGAACAGCCAAACGTGTAAAGAAAACCGTCCTCCACTCCTATCATTAAAGCCAATATCCACGCAGTTGCATTGCACGCTGTAGTGCAAAGTGAATGTATGTCCAAATAATTTGTAAGAATCCTTGCCCAATTTGTGGCCAACTTTGCGGAAAAACTCTTCAATACACAGTTAAGCGTCCAGCCGAATAGAATGCATTTACAAGAATTACCAGTAACACAAGAAACTACACAATTCGAAGAAATCGTGGTGGTTTTTACTGGTGAGATCGTTGGATAGCAGAGAATTAATTGTGATGCAATAAAGAATCGCGGCCAAAAAAAGGAAGACTGGAGTTAATACAAAGGAAAAAACACACTCCAAAAAACATCATGTTGTAAACTCAAGATTCGAGTTATTAAAGCAAGCTTTGAATCTTGTCTCTTGCTTTTATAACTCGAATCTTAGTTTATAAGATGATGTTTTTTGGAGTGTGTTTTTTCCTTTATTTTTTGAAATTGTCGGCTGGAAAAGGATTTTGGAGTTGATATATTCTAACAATGATAAAACATTCAAGGTTACTGTAAAGTAGTAACTACTTAACGTGAATTTCAAGAGCCGCTTAAGACAATATCTCGATTGAAAGGCGTTAATGTATGAGTCACGCCTTATGGTGGGAAGAGCAACTTCAAAAATTTGTTAAAAAAATCGTTCTACAAGTCTATAGAAAGTTATATGTTTGTAAATGATGATCGTCCAGGTTAATAAAGTCCTGAGAAGGACTGTTTTTAATGTTGTTGACTGACGTTTCGACAACCTTAGCGGTAGTCATCTTCAGAGTCAAATGAGGAGTAAACGTCAGGTTAGCCGTATTTGTTGTCTGGTTCTTACGTCATTGTATTGTGTGTACAGGAAATGTGCAGGAAATGTGTATTGTCATTGTGGATTAGTGCGAAGTAAAATATTTTATTTTTAGTTGTGATGTGTGATTTAGGTGTGACGTTTTTAGTTGTAGTGTGTGGGTGTCAATTGTGTATTGTCATTGTGAATTAGTTTGAAGTGTAATGTTTTTAGTTGATCGTTTGTTTGTATTGTGAATAAGTCGTTTGTAAGGTGCCGGTAATTGCTGTGATCTGTTCAGGGGGGTTTGTTCCAAGTTGGTATACCAACTTTCTAATGTAAGCCGTTGTCTATAGTCAGTACTGTAAGTGATGCATTTTGCCGAGTCGCAGTCAATGTTGTGCTTTGTCATTCGGTGATGTTCGGCAATGTGATTAGTTTTGTCTTGTTTCTTAGTAGCTCGTTTGTGCTCAGTAAGTCTTATGTTTAAGTTCCTGCCAGTTTCCCCGATATAGGAGGCGTGGCAGTCGGAGCAGTTTATTTTGTAAACTGCACCTTGTTTACAAAATAAACTGCACCTTGTTTACAAAACAAACGACTTATTCACAATACAAACAAACGATCAACTAAAAACATTACACTTCAAACTAATTCACAATGACAATACACAATTGACACCCACACACTACAACTAAAAACGTCACACCTAAATCACACATCACAACTAAAAATAAAATATTTCACTTCACACTAATCCACAATGACAATACACATTTCCTGCACATTTCCTGTACACACAATACAATGACGTAAGAACCAGACAACAAATACGGCTAACCTGACGTTTACTCCTCATTTGACTCTGAAGATGACTACCGCTAAGGTTGTCGAAACGTCAGTCAACAACATCAAAAACAGTCCTTCTCAGGACTTTATTAACCTGGACGATCATCATTTACAAACATATAACGATACTCCCGGGTTCAAACCATTTACTCTATAGAAAGTGTTTTACTACTGTTGTCTTGGCTTGATAAAGTTGTTTTAGACATTAAGATAGCGATTAACAATAGTGTATACTGGGTCACTTAAAGACGACATGCAAATAAGTGCTCACACCCATATTCCATGCATATACCGTCACATCTAACACACTTATGTTCTTAAGTTGCAAAAAATTATATTAAGTTGGATAGAGAACATCTGGAACATGTTATTTACTCCTTTATATCCACAGGAGTTGACACTGAATAAAAAATTCCCCCGGATTCAAATGCAATAACGAATACCGACGCCGCAGGTTTAGCCGAGTAACAAGTAAGGTACATGGCAGAGGAAAAGATTGGAAGGAATCTTTATAAAACTGTTATCTACCACCTTTATCTTGAGGGTTGACGTATAGTTACACTTAAATTGACTCAACACAGTTTTATGGTCATTATACAACTCTCCGAGAATACATGGGGAAATATGTGACTAACTCGGGCTATATAAACATCTAAGGCTATATTAATACATAAATAAAGCAATTGTTTAGGATATAATGAAAAATACTCACGCTTTCTTTAATGTTAACCAGAAGACCTTCAACGGTTGTAAAGCGTCCACCCAACGTTCCACTTTCTAGTTCAAACTCAAGTTCTGGTATTTGCAGTACACACGTGTCAGACTAAACAAGATAAATGTTGTCTTGCCAGTTCAAAGTATTTGTAAGCCACCCTATATGCCGTCAATGATAGAAGTCGATCACTTTTAAATAGCAACGTCGTAAGCACTCAGTTAATAGCTTTCGTTTTCAAACAATGCTAAGAAACATGTAAAATGCGCAAAATACCACCAGTGGTTGGGCCAGCCTGCAAATTTGGTACTGCAGTGCAAATTTTTCTGTGTCCATTCACTGCAAAACCAATAGGTTTCTACGCATGAAAATAATAATAATGCGCTAAAATTTGCACTGCAGGATCAAAACATGCGGGCTGGCAAGTCAATTATTTGCCATTACAATGTGAAAGTCACAAATTAGCACAATAATTAACACAATGTGAGAATAACAACTAACAAAATCAAAGCTTACGAAAGACGACGAAAATCATAGATTACGAAACCTTTAATACATCACGGCACAAATCTGTCGGGTCTGTTATCAGTAATTCAATCCTGCTACCCTTGGCCTCGATTCCACCTATAAATATTATAGTACAGGGTGACCCAAAAAGATACGTACCCATGAAAATTTCAATTATGGCTTTAATTAAAAAGCTATTTATTTCAAATTAAAACCACACATCATTCAGTTTATGGAAGACTATTCACAAGAGTTTCGGCTATTTCTGTCAATTTTTAGTCAATTTATGGCTTTCCCAAGATGTGTTCCAAATGTCCACCATTTCGTTTGCTGTGATGGCAGTTTTAAGTTCTTCAAAAATAAGAGCCATCCCGAAAGAGGAGTGTATAAAAGTGATTCAAAACTTTGCGAGACGAGTACAGGTTTGCTTGCCACGAAATGGTGGACATTTGGAACACATCTTGGGAAAGCCATAAATTGACTAAAAATTGACAGAAATAGCCGAAACTCTTGTGAATAGTCTTCCATAAACTGAATGATGTGTGGTTTTAATTTGAAATAAATAGCTTTTTAATTAAAGCCATAATTGAAATTTTCATGGGTACGTATCTTTTTGGGTCACCCTGTACAAAAGACAATTGATCGGAACACACGAATGGCAAGTTGACAGTTTGACAGCATTCCTTAGTAAGCGATTTTTTGGCAGTGCAAACAAAAAATGAGTTATTTCTACTGTTTAATCCTGAATAGTTGTCGAGATGAATTGACACATGACGAAAACAAGAGCTCTACTTTCTATTGCACCATTTAAAACAGTCACTCTTAGCTTCACACTTGGGAAACTTCAAATTACATCAAAATAAAGCGTGAGTATTTATACAAATCCCGAACATGGTTTGTCAGCCGTTCACCGGCACAGCATAGCAATGTGAAGTCTTACAATCATGAAAAAAAGTTTTACAAAAAAGGTACACAGACTTGTTTTGGGTAAAAAACAAACAGTTATTTTATAGTCCTCTTTCGGGCCTTAAGGTTTGCCTAAATATTACATTACCTCCTGATTTGACTTCGTTCGATCGTTCTCCACAATTTGAACAATCAATAGACATGATAATAACTTGCTTAAAATGAGGAATATCTGTCTCAGTGAATTAAGGAAACAAGATTTTAAAAAGAACGACGTTCAAGCAACAGCACTAAAGCAGAACGCAACCAAAAGGCCTTTCCTTGAATAATTGAAATAATTAAAAACATGACACAACTCGATTTGGAATTTTACGCAAAATCGGCAGAGAAATGATCAAACAGTTCACTTTAAGTGGATGGAATAAATGGATACCGACAGCTTTCATTTTTGTCGTTGTCGGACATTTACAGCGAGGGCAGTCTGTAGGAAACTCCAACACCTGGAAATGAGGAGTAAAACTAAGTATATATATGGACAACATAGAAAAACAGCGTCAATAAACACTAAGCATACAAAACAGTGAGGCTATTGCGCAAATGTTGTATAAAACCAACTTTTCTTCTAAAAACAATGGTATATGCACACAAAATATTACAGGCAGAGTTCAGACTTTAAAATAATGGGTTCAAAGCGGAACTTTTACCTCTTTAAGCGGAATTTATAAAGATTTGTATTTTTTTTGTACTGTTTGAAAGCACATAAACCAAGCACATGCATAAACCCAATGAACAACTCTTCAACATTATATTCATGCTCTCAAAACAACATCAATTTATCGTCCTTGGTTTTAAAAAGAACCATAGAAACATACCTCGTCGTTAGCATCAAATTCGTCAGAGGCATTTTCAACTTCTACGTCTATAAAAATACCACGATGTTTTCATTTATGCATGGTCAGACAATTTAAAATTTGTCAGGTGTAAATGCTTTCTATAGTGACATAATACATTTGTGCAGTTTACAGAGCCTACGAGTTTCACTACTGCTTGAATTAACTGCTCTTAGTCCGTGTAAGCTACACATAGACATTAACGAATAATTGGCGTAGCTTTTTATCATATGTCACGTGCTTTTAGTATCTGGAGGACAAACAAACACTTTTTTATGGTGCCAAATGATACTACTGTCATTGCCTTAGGGAAATATAATGTTCTGATGTATGACAAACTTCTATATGGTGTTTGGATGAACTGATCATACGATGAAGCGAAATAGCACGGAAGCAAACGGGAGAAAAAGGACAAATAAATGCAGGTTTGCCAATAATGCGACAGTAAAACACAACAGATTTTTGGATGTAAAAACCTCTATATGCTATAATGCAATGTAGCGATTATATTGGCGCTTCTCGCAAGGTCCGCACTACGCAAGAGTAACGAAATTAAAGCACTTTCGTATTCTGGAAAATTTAGGGACGCATACAAGCTTCAATTGTATGCAAAGCTTTAAAACTTCATCAAACTTAAAGCCAAAGACGTTTTCAACGAATCGAGAGCAAGTGTTTTCATGTGACGTAAAGCCGCCATCTTGATAGGTTATATACTTCAAAGCTTCTCTATTATGATTACAATTTCTAACACACCTCTAAAGAAGAAATTTATTCGCTAACTAACATGTTACACAAAAAAATAGACAAAAAGGTAAAATTCATGCACATGCATTTAATACAGGAAGCCTGACGTAAAAAGAGAGCTTAGATGTCATGTAGATGCGCATTCTTCAAAAAGAATTTTGTTAAATTGCTTGTCCTCCAAATGCTAGTTGACATCTATTGCAACGTAATTTTTGTCGTCAATGCAACTTGTCCAGATGTCAATTTTCCGCAGCTTATATAGCATTAAGTAAAAATTCAGAAAGAAAAAAACAGCACGTAAGTTTGACGTATCATTATAATTGATACATTTGTGGTTACGTTACAAATGAGAATGTGATTACAGATATAATGTTTAATGAAAGACATTAAAAAAACGTTTCTTTAATTTGTGGCCTGACAGGCCAGAGTGAATCACAGATTGGATGATAATTACCTCTAGTTTCGTCTAGTCCTAATAATTGGTTTTGTTCTTTTGTTCTTTCATATTTTGTAATTGTCATGGCGTCGTCAGATTTCGGTGCAAGCGGATTTTCTACGTAACTATTACCAGAAATGTCGTCAAGCACGAATGTAAATGAAATTAGACCATCTCGACACGACCTGAGTTTTTGAATGAATTTATCAAGTTTTTCTGCTTGCTCTGGGTTTAACACCTATAAACAAACGACAAAAAATCGTACTTGAGAGAGGATAAGCAACTAGCTACAAGAATAGTGAAATGGAAAATCACATCCACAGTCAAATCAGGTCTGACAATACTGGTATAAGATCAGTTCTAATGAAGTTTTATAGGCACAAAAAATTTGAGAGATTTATCCTATTAAACGCTCACAGCAGTCGCTTCTCAAACTGTTTAAGTCGTTCATACAACAGAAAACTAAACAGACCGTTTAATCTATATAATTTTCAAAAAACTGCTTGACACGATACAAAAAAGTATTGAATGCACTTTATAAGAACAAACGAAAAAAATATCCACAGAAATGGTCTCAACAACCAACCTTTTGTATAGGTACATGTTGCTCTAGTGACGACACAGCTCGTTCGAGGATTCCTTCAATTGTACTTAGTTCTGAAATCGTAAAACGTTTCTCAATAAATTGTTTGATGAACGTGTGTGTTAAGGTTATAGAACTAAAGAGAAAGCAACAAAATGTCATTTATTAAATCTTAAAGCTATTTTTGAGCTCTCGTGTTATAGACGATTTAGGCCCGTTTCAACCGTCGCATTTTAATTGCACCGAATGCATTAAGACAAAATAATGTGAAAAAATTCCTTATTAACTTTTGTTTTAGATGCATTTGGCTCATGTAAAATGCGACGTTTGAAACGGGTCTTAGATTGCATTTACGTTTTCTGGCCTTGCAGGAAGATTTATCCAAACTTATGTTAAGCAATGCCGTATGATACTGTGTAAAAGAACTCGACCAAATCTGCCAGCAAAAAAAACCGTTAACAATTGAACTCATCTATTCGAGAAAGCCTGTACGTACATGCAAGTAAACTAAAACAACGTTATACAACGACGTCATTGGTTGGTTTTCTTGATTACACATTTTAGTAAAAACAATTTTGCATAAGCATTCTTTTCAATGACAAATACAATAGATTACACAGAGTCAATGTCTCTGAATTTGGAAGTGGTGTTATGATTTAACGTGATTGGATTGAAGTGATTTATGATTTTGCTACATTTGATTGATATAATATTCTCCCATTATTTACATTCATTTGAATTTCGTTCCATTTTTTTCGTTCTACTGGAAAACTTTTTAGTTTTTTCCACTATTTTTCTTGCATTTTAATCATTTTTATTGTTTTCCGTTTCGTTTGAATGATTTTCCATTATATTCGTTTCATTTGAGTGATTTTTCATTGTTTCATTTCATTTGATTGATTTTAGAATTTTTCCAAAATTATTTTCGTTCTGTTTGAATAATTTTTCAGTGTTTTTCTTCCATTTCAATGCGCTTATGATTTTTCCCATTCTTAAAGTTATATTTGAATGATTTGACGATTCTTCACAATTGACATACATTTAATTAGTGGATATTCTTATGAAATGAAATTTCTACATCAATTTTTTTTATCTTAAACAATATTCAGACCCTCATATATAAGCAATTTGATAAATTTCTGAAATTAATTGTAGTTGGAAGTTACCGAATAACAATAACAACAGGGGAGGATTCAGGGGGTTGGTGGGTGGATAGGGTGGCTAGTCATTTCCCTTTCTTTAGTCAAAATTCTTAAAAAAAAGAATCAAATGCTGTTTGTGATTTAGTTTTGAAATTGCCAAATTCGCAAGTGAATTCACTTACACCAAAAACATAGGGGCATAAAAATTTTAACAAAGAGATTTTTATTGGGTGATACAGTAAGCATAAATCCATGAAACTTTAGATGAAACTTTAGCACGCGAGTTTTGGTCCTGCTACGTAACTTTCAAAGAATCATAACATTAACATTATTCATTTGTTTAGAAATCTTTTGTTTTTACAGTAATTGAACACAGAAAAATTAACACTGCGGGACAAAATAAACGGCTGGCAACGCTAGGGTAGACAGAACACTGGACAGTTTTGTTAAGAGAATTTGCAAAGATGTTTAAAAAGGAAAATATCAAATAAACAAGCAGCTTTTTAAGCCTACAATTTTTTTCTCAAATGCTCAAACAAAATTGAGTTTGTCATAGTGTTGTCCCAGACCCCTAAAATGGAGTAGTGTACTACGTTTGTCGCCCCCCTTGCAGAAATCCTGCATCCGCCACTGAACAAAACTTGCTTCATAAACGAAACGAAGCATATAATTATACTGACTTAACCTGCATGTCTTCCACAGCCAGCATTTTATACAAACATTGCATTTGCATGTGACTATTGAATCATCATGCATTGTGGTTCAATTTTTGTGGTTTATAGTTGTTCTTTGAAAGAAGTGCCCTGTTGTAGTATTGCCATACAGCTTCTTCTCTTGCCGGCTCTTAACATTTTAAGTGAACTTATTCTCTTACAAAGCGTCATTGATTTTCTACGAAAAAAATGGATCCTCAAATACTGTATGACTCGACACTTGGGAAACAAACACTAGAAAACTACCCGATGTCTTCATTATTAGTTCATAATTTTCCTTTATGTCTGAAATCGCAGCACTTACTATCAGCAAAATGAACGATGACGACAAAGGCTGGTTAAGGTTTGCAATAAAAATTTAACCTCGTCCTTCGCACTTGTGGGTCTATTTCGCCTCAACGTCAGAACAAAACTGCATATTGTTCATTTTAAATGGAAATAGCAAACGAACTTCATCAAAATTACTTTGGGTATTCAATCTGTTTATAGTATTAAACAAGCGGTATACCTCGCTGTTTAAAGTATTAAACAACACTAGTCAATTCTTTTTTCACGTACATAACCTTTAATTTTTTTTTGAACGAATTTGATAAATTGTGAACTTGGAATAATAAGAGTGAAAGCATTGTTGGAATTGGCTATAAAATGTTTATGTTAGACCTTGTGAAACATTCCAAGAATGGTAGATAAAAATGCTGCAATTTTGCCGCATGACGAACACTCACATTTGAAGTTTTGTTCCAAAAACGTGACGTTATTTCCGGAGAAAATTACGTCTCTATCAATCTTCTACTTTTCTTCTCCTCCAATTTGAAATCCATGCCCAAAACAAGCATAGTATATGGTTGCAATAGCACTAATATATTCCAACAGAATATTGCAACGTTATTCAGCGAGTGATGTTAGGGATTTACGTCAGAGTTCTCACAACCTGGTTAACGAAATGTGAGCTGTGTTTCACAAGGCTTGCGTCAGGATTTTTCATCCAAATTCACAAAATTCTTTCACAAATACCATTCTACGTCTACAATGTATCAAATTCGTTCAAAATAAATATTAACGTTGCGTAGGTGCACTTCTATAGCTAGTCACAATCCCTGATAATAGACCATATGCCTTATTAATTTTTAATGAAAATGCGCGCTGTGCATTCTGATCTTAGTAGTCACGCTACTACGGTAAACATCAACATGGCCACTGCGGATAGTGAGTGTGTAGCTGTTCTTTGTCGTCTTTCAGAGATAACTCAAACGAGTGAAAACCCTAGTTCTTTTCAGAACTCTTGCACGGGTATTCAGGAGTTTGTTACATCTGAAGCTTATGGCAAGGAAATCCCAGAAACGTCGACGAAGGCGAAGATAGTTGGTGTAAATTCTAATACCGTTGCAAGTCCAGATGAAGAACTCGCGACATTTGGTCGCTTAGATTGGACAAAGTCTTTGGCTAATCTTCCACCTTTTACGCACGAGAAGCTTGAGCATAAGCTAGTTAAAAGTAGAAGAGGAAAATCCAATAATTATGCGCCTAACGCTTTTAGAAATATGAAGAAAGGCTACGGTCTCTGGCGAGAAGGATATGAAAAGAATACAATGGTAAAAGCTAATGTTCCTACTTCAAATGGGGAGGTTGTATTTGTTGTAAAGGCGCGTGTTGGTACATCTATGAAAAGTGTGAGCTACTCTGTATTTGTTCATTTAAATCAGAGAACTGCTGAAGTGGAGTATAGTATTTGTAACTGTAAAGCAGGACAAGGTGGATGCTGCAAACATGTCGCAGCGCTACTTTACACAGTGTTAGACTTTGTGAATCTTAAGCTTTCTGCTGTTCCTGCCGAACTTACGTGTACTCAGCTACCTCAAAAATGGAATAAACCATCTGGAAATTCTAAAACTCTTGAGAAAGCTGTAAAATTTGAACACTTGCTTTTTGAAAAGGCAGATGTAAATAAAACCAATAAACAACATTCTGTAAGAGGTGTTAGAGAGAACTACTGCTCGACCCCACCATATGCACAAGAACTTACCAAAGAAGACATCAAAATAATGGCAGATGCCTTTCAAAAAGTTAATAGGGCATCATTTTTATGCGAAGCATTTAAATCAAATGAATATCAGCCCTGTAATACTTTTGAGACTTCTTGCAATCGAATGATAAAGAGGAGACAGCTGGTGGAGTCTTTGCCTGAAGATCCATCTTCGTGTATTATAAACAAGGTTTTTAAGAATGTGGCTACAGATTATAGTCCTCCTTTGGGCCATTCTAAACAACAATTGGAAGTAATGTTGAAAACAGTTTTTGTCACAGTTATCCAAGCCAAAGAAATATGCATGAATACAATGGAACAAAGTAAAAGTCCTTCTTGGTATGATGAAAGGTGCAAAAGACTAACTGCTTCTATTTTTGGAAAAGTTATAAATCGAAGAAAAACTATACACCCTACATCGTTGCTTAAAACAATCACCAAATCTAACAAATTTTTTAAAAATATACCTCAACCACTAAAGTGGGTTATAGATAATGAGAAGATTGCTCTTGAAAAATACAAAGCTAAATCTTTACTGGAAGAAAATACACACTTAAGCCATTGTGGCCTGGTGATTAGCCCGAAATGGCCATGGCTTGGATGTAGTCTACCTTGTCCTGCTTTACAGTTACAAATACTCTACTCCACTTCAGCAGTTCTCTGATTTAAATGAACAAATACAGAGTAGCTCACACTTTTCATAGATGTACCAACACGCGCCTTTACAACAAATACAACCTCCCCATTTGAAGTAGGAACATTAGCTTTTACCATTGTATTCTTTTCATATCCTTCTCGCCAGAGACCGTAGCCTTTCTTCATATTTCTAAAAGCGTTAGGCGCATAATTATCGGATTTTCCTCTTCTACTTTTAACTAGCTTATGCTCAAGCTTCTCGTGCGTAAAAGATGGAAGATTAGCCAAAGACTTTGTCCAATCTAAGCGACCAAATCTCGCGAGTTCTTCATCTGGACTTGCAACGGTATTAGAATTTACACCAACTATCTTCGCCTTCGTCGACGTTTCTGGGATTTCCTTGCCGTAAGCTTCAGATGTAACAAACTCCTGAATACCCGTGCAAGAGTTCTGAAAAGAACTAGGGTTTGCACTCGTTTGAGTTATCTCTGAAAGACGACAAAGAACAGCTGCACACTCACTATCCGCAGTGGCCATGTTGATGTTTACCGTAGTAGCGTGACTACTAAGGCCTGTCTACACGTATCCGGATAAATTTGAAAACGCAAAACTTTTTTTACGGATGTACGTTCCGTCCACACGTATCCGGATAAAACGCCCACACAAACCGTATACTTTTGAAAACGCTGTCCAGAGTGGAATTTTTGGAAAACGGAAAAAAATTAGTCTCGTGTGGACGGGTGAAACCGTAAAAATACAGAAACGATGACGTATAACTATTATTTGGTCAAACATGGCGGAAACACGAAAGGTTGTTGCGATATTGATTTGCCTTATTTCAAGCATAATATCATGCGTCCAGCTTTATAATGCGGTGTTGAATTCTCACGGAGAATATATTCGAAATCGTATGAATATTATTCGTCAGCTTTCGTTGCTTGGTACCGGAAGGGGGATTGTCAAGTTAGGCAAGAAGCGTCAAAGGAAAAAACGAAGATTTTGGATTCGACCTGGAAGAACAAATGCTTGGTGGAACGGTTTTATACGTGAACTAGTAGTCCCAGAAGAATGGCGAGAAAATTTTAGAATGTCTCGAGTTTCCATTGACAGACTAGCCGAAGAATTAAGACTCTACATCCAAGGGGAAAAAACTATCATGAGATCTCCTGTTGATGTGTTGACCCAAGCTGCTATCACACTATATTGTCTCAGTGATGAAGGTCGTATGAGAAAGACTGCAAATGCGTTTGGAATTTCTCGACAGACCGTTTCCAAAATTGTGAGAAAGGTATGCAAGGCAATAACAATACACCTTTGACCAAAGTATGTAACATTGCCATTTACTGAAGAGAATGTGCAAGAAGAAGTGAACAATTTTTACAGAGCACATGGTTTTCCACAGTGCTTGGGTGCAATTGATGGAACACACATTCCAATAAAGCAGCCACAAGAAAATCCTACTGACTATATTAACCGAAAAGGTACTTACAGTTTGAATGTGCAAGCTATATGTGACCATAAATACTGTTTTATGGATGTGGTTGTGAAATGGCCTGGAAGTGTGCATGATGCGAGGGTTTTTTCAAATTCCAGCCTAAACCAATTGTTGAAGAATGGCAAGATACCACCATGTCAACGCAAGATTTTAACTGATGAAGATCCAGTTCCTATTTTTATATTAGGCGACCCTGCATATCCATTAATGCCGTACTTGATGAAGGAGTATTCAAATGGTGGGTCTAATCAGCAGGAACAGTATTTCGGTATGACTTTGTGCCAATCAAGGATGGTCATTGAATGTGCTTTTGGTAGACTCAAAGCTCGTTTTGCAGCTTTAAAGCGTCCAATGGATATTAATCTTGATGAGCTACCTTTTGTGGTGTATGCATGCTTTGTACTACATAATTTTTGTGAAATTAGTGGTGAAAGAATTGCAGAAGAAAAGGTCACTGCTTCTGTCGAGTATGACAAACAATTTCAGCCAGTTATTGCCAACAATAAATTCAGAACTGACTGTAATGAAGCTGAAGGTAAAAAAATCAGAAGGATATTGACAAGGTACTTTGATCCATAGACAAACCAAAACTTCAATGAACAATGATTTAACAAAACCTATTTTTTATTTTAACCCAAACTATTTTCATCTCACTATGCAATATTTGTTACTAAGTAACTACAACCTTATAAAATATACACATCACTCTATGCTCATTTCAGTAATGCATATTATATTAAAATTTTCATTTGTAAACTGACTAAAGTGCAATGTGCTATTTTCTACATTCATCGGTTGTGCAGCCTGTGGTCTGTCCCAGTTGCTGTTGTAACCAGTAAGCGGAGTTGCAAATTGGGAGGTAATGGTTGAGGATGCAGCATTACTTGGCGAAGCATAGAAAACCTTCCACAATACACCCAGTAAGTTGTTCCATATTTTGCGAGAATTTCTTCATTTGGGTAGCCTGCTGCTTATCCACTTCGTCCATCTTTTCAAGAAGACGTTTTTTTATTTCAAGATCTTCTTGCATGGCATTCAGGAGTTGTTCGTCTGTTGATAACTTTCTCTTTAATCTGTTTTGTCTATAATTCTTCAATTTAGAATTTAAAAATTCTCTTCGTTCAGAAACACAGTTTCATTCATTTTCTTCATCGTCAAGAGTAGGTATTTCGGTATGAGGGCTGCTGGATGTTGAGGAAGCTATGGGTGTACCAATAGAGTTGGCGGGACTGGGACATATTAAACTTGAGTCAAACTCTAGTTGAATTTCTTGCGTCTCTATTCCAGATGCCATTGTAGTCGTAGCTGGTGAGCCTCCCCATATTTCCTGACATTTGTCGAAAGAAATCAGCACAACTCTTCCATGCCCACTTTTCTTACCACAATCAACAGCAGCGCGGAATTTGAGTCTGATAGATTTTAGTTTTGAAGTAATAATTGACTTATTGACTTCATTATTCTGGTGGGGAAACTCTTTTTCAATTTGGGCTGCATCATGTTCAGATAGATACTGAGCGAGGAATAAATTCAAAATATCAGAATATTTAGATTGGCATGTCTCCCAGTCAACATTCTCCGCAGTTCTTGCAGTTTTGTACTCAAGAACAACGTTTAAAAGGAGCTCCACTTCACCGTCGGTCCACACAAAGTTTTCGGTTTTGCTCTTCTTGGATTTGGACGAATTTTCTAATGCGTTTGACATAATTTTTGAATTGTATTTAATAGCAATGCGCAGAAGAATGTCAAGTGTCAAGAAAGCACATATACGTACACGTTATTTGCAGGCTCATCTTGTCTGAAGCGCATGCTCAAATGGAATTTTATCAGTGTTGTCAAATTTATCCGGATACGTGTGGACGGGCGAAAACGATCCGAAAACAATTACGTGTGGACGCGGAAGTTTTTAATACCGTAAAAAAAGTTTTGCGTTTTCAAATTTATCCGGATACGTGTAGACAGGGCCTAAGACCAGAATGCACAGCGCGCATTTTCATTAAAAATTAATAAGGCATATGGTCTATTCACAGGAGCCCTTTGAACAAAAAGCTGTCTTTCTTCCTAATCATATTCATTAATTCCTTTTATCTGCGTAATAGTAGTTCTAACAACAAGATTACCTCCTCCTTGGGAAAAAGCTGGTATCTCAAAATCCAAATCAGGTATTCTCACAAGAGCAGAATTCGTTTTCACCACCTGTCTGTTCAGATCCTTAAACACAAAGACAGAGAAACACATATTGCACGTAATGGTATATTTATAATTATATAGTGCGCGTAATGGTATACTTGAGATCTCAGCTTTCACTATTTGGTTTGGATCCTCCTAACTACTAAGCAGATGAGTACATACACCGTTATTGTAACTCTCCTATTTTGCTCACGACTTTTCATACGCAAACACATGCTTATATAACTGCTCCAGTGGCGTAGCAAACTCGTAAAATGGGGAGGGAGTGGCACAAATTCATACATTGCAAAGTCTAAATCTAGAAAAAACAACTTCTTTCAAAGGAAATTAATACGGCAGAACATAGGAATGCCAGGGACTGTTCATAGCTACAAACGGGTGCATTTGTTATTAGATTTGTGTAACGGCAATAACGATCAGTGGAGATTACTGCTCCAGAACACGTGCTTATTTGCAAATAAATATATGTTGCAACTGGATAACATGACATTCATAAAAAGATAGTGCTGACGGAATGTGTTAGCAAATATCGCGGAAGGTGTTAAATTGAGGTTGTAAATTAAACTAGCAGAAAAAGGAACATTGTCCAGTCCACAAATGGACCAATAAGATATCTCTCAAGTTTGTAGCTGTAGATCGTCAGGGTTGGTAGTGTCCTGAGAAGGACTGTTGGTGTTGATGTTGAATGACGTTTCGACAACCTTAGCGGGAGTCATCTTCAATGGTTTATTACCGACACAGAATGCTTGCATATTGACAAAGAAAAATGTGGTTATTTAATTTAAAAACATGTTGTTATTATTTTCATTGTCTTGATAGTGCTTATGAAATACATACAATCCAAATTTGGGATACTAAACTATAATTTGGGATACTAGATTTTCATACCCTAGTATCCATCTGGATACTCATCAAAAATATCCAGTTCGAGTTCCAATTCAAGAGATCAGACTTTAGTCTAAAGGTAACATTAGCTAAATTGCATTTAGTCCTGATTATTAACCTTTCATTTCTTTATAAAGTAAATGGTTTGAACCCGGGAGTATCGTTAGATGTTTGTAAATGATGATCGTCCAGGTTAATATTAATTATTAAATTTGACTCTGAAGATGACTACCGCTAAGGTTGTCGAAACGTCAGTCAACAACAACAAAAACAGTCCTTCTCAGGACTTTATTAACCTGCACTTTCATTTCTTTGTTAAATAGTAATTTCACACAAAAACATTAAATCAATGGAGTCTCGATATAAACATTAGAGTCCAACAGATTGTTTTAAAAAAATCTTTTGCCAAAAGAAGTTTGCCTTTATCATAATTATAAAATGAAAAAAAGACCTTTTGTCTTGAGTCAAGACATAGTTAAAGGTTTAATCTCTCCCTTCCAATATTCCACATTGTACATACTTGCACATTCACAGTAATCTATTATGTCCAACTATATAATAACTAAATATAATTTTCACAAACTTCCATATTAGTCTGAAGATAAATATAATAAAACCAAACTGCTTATGGCTTTTTGAAAAACAATCTATTGGGCTCTAATCTTTATATTAAGAATCTGCTTCCCACTTCGCACCACAATGGCAACCATATTGATAAATTAATGAAGATATAAAATTATGACAAAACTAAACATAGAACTGCAGTAAACATCAGAGATGTTTGCATTAACTTTTTGAACAGTTAGAACCACAGTGACTTTTTGTCTTATAAATGTGATAACGTACATTCAACTTTTGCTAACCAAACTATCAAATTTTTTAGCTGTTCTGACAACGATTTTCAGGTCAAACTATATTTGGGTGTAATGAAAAGAAACTAAACATACAAATACCTCTTTTGTTACTCTAACTTCAATCCTTATGCCAAGTGTTTGGACTGGTCCAACAGATTGTATTTCATTATTTCTGTTTCCACAGTGACCACATTCAAATGACATTATCACAACCTCTTGGAAATAAGGAATTTTCACCATAAGCATTTTTGTGATACCCTGCATAGAAATTATGAACAGAAAAATACGAGTTTAACACAAGGTTGTGCCATGTCAAATAAAACTGGCACAATGACATCGACTGTAAAGTGCTGAGTCCATGGATAGGTTGCTGTGCACAAGATTAAACAAATTTACTTATTTAAATATTTGCTTCATCCTTAAACATCATTTAGGAGTAGTGACCTAAATAATTAACAATAACATAGTCAACCTTGGACTACGCAACCCATGAAAATTTCAATCTGAATGGCAATAGATTAATTTAATTTTCTTCGAGAAGTTGCCACAATGGCAACAATATGGGTTTAATATTTATATTCGTTTCTTCATATAGATCCTCCAGATTTAAAGATTTACAAAAAATTAACGTCTGACGTTTCGGCTCATTTATAATATCATGCGTGGCCAGGCCAAATTCAAAATTACTACCAGAAACTCAAAATGCCAAGCTTTAGCAAACCTTTTCGTCGCATGCCATACACAAACTTTCTACAGTCATTGGCATGTCGATATCTTTCTCCATTGAGCCTATTTTTGGAAACATCAGTTGTTCTTCCATATTTATATCTGTTTCTCGCTATCGCTGGAATTGCGTGAATTTTCCTGCATTATAGAAGATATTATTTCCGACAAAATTTCAAATTTCTTAAGAGGTTTCCCAGTTTCAGCAGGATCATTATGACAATGTGCTTATGAATTACGACAATGGCAGTGAACAGTAAACGACTGAAAGGCTTGCTTTCACCATCATTGCCCGCAATCTGATGAACAGGACAGCAGTTTGTCACGTCAAAAATCTATTACTTCACGTAGCTCTCTTAAAAGACATTTAATCAATCTGTTTCGTAAATCCATCTGTTTCGTAAATCTGTTTCGTAAATCCATCGCATCTACTGGAATTTACGATAAACTGCTCTAATCGAACTGCTATGGAATAGCATCTATCATGGTCATTGTTTTGTCCTGACTCCTTTTCTGCTTATGGCGGTATCATAATCATTTGCAGTAGTAGCATGTAAGAAGCTTCACCGTGAAAGTCCACGCCATCTATAAGAGGAATAGATTGTTCTAGTTTGGCTATTGTTCGTGCAATAAGCTGGTCGTGATATCGCAAGATAAGGCTGTTACCGTCTAACTCCGCCTTTGCAGACACAGGGTTTGTTTCCTCCACAAAAGTTCCAGGGCCCCACTTTTGTTTCCCACTATAATTCCGTGCATACACTAAATCCCCCATCGAAAAAAATCTTCATTTGTTGTGTAGATCATATTGGTGTCTCTGCTCAAACCCTGCATGTGAAAACTTTACTCTTGCTGTTGGGTTTGCATGGCCAGGAGGGAGGTGGGAGTACGGGAGCTTTAGAGAAAGAAACGGACTAACTTTGCTTCGACGGTGTTAGGTTTTGTGATGTAGCCATCTACCTTCTTTCGAATATATTGACTTACACCGACAAAGAGAGATATCAGGGGCGGATCTAGAGTATGTCAAATCCGTCGTGCGACTGATGTTTGAAATTCAAAAATTACCTATTCATATTAATTAAAAATCATTAATTATTCTTACTTTATTATCGCATTTACTTCGTGATAAAAATCCAGCTTTATTTATTATTGAAAACTAATGGCTAATCCAATGAATATTTCATTGGTAACCAGATCAGTTGAATTTTTTGACCTGGAATAACCGACTGATAAGCGGGGTGGCTTGACTGGTTAGACGGATAAAGGAGTCCATGAACGCCAAAAACGCTTATTTTATTGGTCAATGGCCAGATCAGTGGACAGTCTGGAATGGTCTCGACTTATAATAGGGGTGGCCGGACGTATAAGGGAGTCCAATTGCTATCTTATAATTGGTTCATTTGAATTTTTGTTTTATTGTGATTGGTTTGACGGATTTCGACTGATAGCCTACTGAACAAGGAGGCAAGCTCACTGTCTGAATACCCATAGTCAAGCTCACTGTCTGAATTGAATGTTTGGTCGTTTCATAGTAATTTTTATAAGCATGATAGAAATTAAACTACAATCAGATGGAATTTATGGAAATCTTTTACAAATTCATATATTGACATGAATGCTGCTGTCCAAACTGTGAATTTTTTCAAGAGGGTGAAAAATTTATGGATAAATTGCAAAGACGATCTCGCGAGCGACATTTCAGTCATTGATGTTCAAAAGAAAGCCAACATTGTTTTGAGTTTTATCAGCAGAAATTTACATCCAAAATCGTAAGTAAAGGACAAGTGAAGTGTATGCATGAATGTAATATATCAAAGTCAATTTTTGCGAGTGTGTGATGCGATTTATGTCAATATGGCTTATGGTAAGCAGATTGATGCTTCTAAAATTGTTGTTGCCGGAAGGACTTTTAGCTATGATTTCTTTAGTGCTTGGGGAATCGTGACCGTTATATGGCAGCGAAATCCTACATTCCTGCAAATATATTTCAATGGACAAAAAATCTGTAGCCATAAGGCGCCATACTATTATTTACTTTATCATAAACAAATGTTTGGGGCTTTTCAGTTTATAATCATTGATCATTCAATCATTGGACAGTTATACTACATATTGTTTAAGATTTGAGAAAACTAACATTGATTACATGAGAAGCTGTTTACTATAACCTGTGATTTTGAGTCTTCTGATCCATGAAGCTTTTTATTTTGACCTGAGTATTTCACATACATGAAATGTTGTCCCATGTCACATATTGTCCCCTTTTCTAACTGAACATCTAAAGATGTAAAGGTGTGTTAATCTACGGCTCATACCAGATTGTTTGCCATAAATTCCAAAGGGCTATTGATGTATGAAAAGCATTTTCTATAAAGTAAAAATGTCTTTCTATGTATGCAGATAAACCTTTAAATTTGGCAAAACAGCAAAGTAATTTTCATGATCACTAGGTAATTTTTCTAATGATCATTATAATTTCTAAACTAAATTATTTCAGATTTACATTCAAACGAGCTTTGATCATATGAAAAGATATTTATCATAACCAGTAAGCATGACACATTAACCAATTTTAACATTCATGTAATTATATAATTAAAGACATGTTGGTTACATTCTGTTTGTATTTGCAAAGACAATGCTACTAGTGATTGCTATATAGCACACCTTGCATATACTTACAGAAGCCGTGTGGTTGCCGGCTTAGAATTGCGCCAACGTATCCTCTGCGTGTCGTAAAAGACGACTAAAAGGGGTTGGTGTAAGGAAGGGCATCCTACCGTAAAACTTTTGCTCCAAAAAGAAGACATGGCCCCCAGTTCCCGGCAGCCCTTCAGTGGGCAGGGGGTGCGAAGAATCTCCGGATCGAATGTTGGTGGAAGTGTCACCCTTCGGGTAGGCACAGTGAACGTTGGGACAATGAAGGGAAGGAGTGCAGAAGTGGCGGACATGTTGAAGACAAGGAAAGTTGATGTGTGTGGGTTTCAGGAGGTAAGGTTTAAAGGTGAAGGTACGAGAGTCATAAAGGATGAAGATAATGGAGCGAGATTTAAGTGGTCTTGGAAGGGAAACGGAAGTAGCACGAATGGTGTTGGCTTTGCGATAAGAGAGGATTGGGCGAAGTCGGTTGTAGCAGTGAAGAGAGTTTCGGACAGAGTCCTGAGAGTTGATATAGTTATTGAGGCCGAAGTTGTGAGTTTCGTTGTGGTGTATGCTCCACAGGTTGGACGAAGTGCGGAGGAGAAGGAAAAGTTCTACGACAGCGTGTATGCAGTCAGAGCAGACATTAGAGGGCGATGTGTGATGCTTGGTGATTGGAACGGTCATGTGGGAAGCGTAAGAAAAAGATACTATGCGCATGGAGGTTTTGGAGTTGGTGATATGAATGCTGAAGGCGAGGCGATATTGGAGTTAGCAGCGAGTTGTGAGATGGTGGTAGTGAATACGTGGTTTATAAAGGAAGAAAGCAAGCTTGTGACGTATGAATCTAGTGACAGTAGGACGGTGGTGGATTATATACTGGTGAATAAAGAAGAGAGGAAAAACGTGAAGGATGCAAAAGTGATTGCAGGAGAAGAATGTGTGACCCAGCACAAGCTGCTGGTCATGGACTGGAGAATCAGGAAGGTGAAGAGGAGAAAGGTTGAGGGTAAAGGCAGGCTTAAGCTATGGAAGTTACGATCGAATGAAGGGAAACAGTGTTTCCGTGACGAAATTGCGACATTGAATGTTGAGGGTGAGACGGTGGAGGAGCGATGGACGTGCTTGGAGAAGGGTGTTTTAACGGCAGTGGAGAAGGTATGTTGTAGAAGTAAAGGCGGTGTAGTAAAAGAACAGGCATGGTGGTGGGATCAACGAGTCAGCGAAGTGATTGGCGCGAAGAAGTTGGCATTTAAAAGGTGGAGAAAGTTGCGGACTGAAGCAGATAGGATCGATTACATCCGGTTCAAGAAAAAGGCGCGAAAGGAGGTGGCTAAAGCGATAGAAATGCATCAGAAAGAGCTTCTCGTAAAAATGCAAGAGAATGGACGAAAAGCGTTGTTTAGAACGGCTAGAAGGAGCAAGAAGGAGAGGAACGATATTTTGGGTGCTCCCGGCGTGCAGAACCACGATGGGGAGTTGAAGGTGTTATTGGAAGACAGGTTAGAAGTGTGCAGGGCGTACTGTGACCGTTTGATGAATGTAGAGAATGAGTGGAATGGAGAAGTTGAAGCAGATGAAGTTTTGGGGCCGTGGGAAACAGTGACTGTTGATGAGGTGGCGGCGGCTCTGCGCAAGATGAAGAAAGGAAAGGCGATGGGACCGAGTGAAGTGGGTAGCGAAATGTTGGACAATGAACTATGCGTGAGAGAGTTGTGTAATGTAGCGAACGAGGTTTTGAGGGGCTCAAAGATGCCGAGTACATGGAGAAAGAGTCTAGCGGTCCCGCTGTACAAAGGAAAAGGAGCAGCGACGGTATGTGGGAATTACAGGACTATTAAGCTGATGGAGCATGCGTTGAAGATAGTAGAGAGAGTGTTTGAAAGAAGGTTGAGGGAAGTTGTTCGGATGGGGGAAGAGCAGTATGGATTCATACCTGGGAGAGGAACGACGGATGCGTGTTTTGTGTTGAGGCAGCTGCAGGAGAAATTTTTGGAGAAGGACAGAGAATTGTATATGGTGTTTGTAGATTTGGAGAAGGCGTTTGATAGAGTTCCGAGAAAGGTGATCGAGTACGCTGCGTAAGAAAGGTGTGACAGAGAATATGGTTCGGGCAGTTATGGAGACTTATGAAGGTGTAGAGGCGGTGGTTACGGAGGAAGGTGTTAGATTTGGTGTTTTGAGGTAAAGTTGGTGTTCATCAAGGTTCAGTCTTGTCGCCGTTACTGTTTGCTTGTGTGATGGATGTACTGACAGAGGAAGTGAGAAGAAAAGAAGGATGCTGGTGTTTGTTGTATGCAGATGACATTGTCTTGGTGGCCGAGTCGAAGCAGAAAGTCATGGAATGGTACCGAGAATGGAAAACGGCAATAGAAGTCAAGGGACTGAAAGTGAATGAGGCAAAGACGAAGGGCATGAGATACTCGAGGCAGGTGGAGGTGAAGGACAGTTATAAATGGCCATGTGGTGTGTGTGGGAAAAGAGTTGGAGTGAATTCGATAATGTGTGGGAAATGCAGTAAGTGGGTTCATGGAAGATGTTCAGGTGTCCGTGGTACATTGACAAGAGTAACTGATTTTGAGTGCGGGACGTGTCGAAGTGGTGGGCGAGTCGCGATTGAATGGTTTGAACTAGGTGACGTGAGTTTGGTGTATCGGAGTTTAAATATCTGGGCGATGTGTTAAATGATGGTGGAGGGTGCGAGCAAGCGGTGAGGAACAGAGTTCAAGCAGCGTGGTGGAGTTTTAGAGAGTCGTCGGCAATGTTGTGCGGAAAGTCGACTTCGTTGAAGCAGAAGGGAGAATTGTACAAGGCATGTGTTAGAAGTGTTTTGGGATATGGAGCAGAGTGTTGGGCGCCGAAAGCAGAAGACCTGAGAAGATTGGCGTCGACGGAAAGGAGAATGCTTAGGATGATGTGTGGTGTAACGTTGATGGATAGGATTCGAAGTGAAGAGATTAGAGAAAGAGTTGGTGTTGAGCGTATCGAGAATTGGGTAAGGCGCCAGCGTTTGAGGTGGTTTGGGCATGTGGAAAGGAGGGAAGAAAGTGCTGAAATTCGTAGAACGTTGTATATGAATGTTGATGGAGTCCGCAAACGAGGTAGACCTAGAAAGAGATGGATGGATGCTGTGAACAGTGATATGAAGGCGATGGGTATAACGAGAGATATGGCGAGAGATAGAGACGTTTGGCGTAGAAAAGTTCATGGACCGGTCAACCCCCCTGGCGGGGATTAATACTGGCCGGTATACAAATTTGTTTGTTAGTTTGTTTTGTTGCATATACTTACAGAAGATAATAGTCTAGTGAAATGCCTAATAAACATTTATGGCATTAAGCTGTCCTTAATTGCGAATTTTCACTCTGATAATTTTTGCTTAATCTTTGGCAGAAAAAAAATTTGAGTTTTTTCTCAAAATGTGAATTTGCTGGCACTGATGTGGAGATGGATAAAGGGTTACAATAAACTTGCATGGTTTGAAGTCTGAGCTTTTCTATATCTATGAACTGTCACTTGTAGTACCAAATTTCTAACTTAACTCGTTACATAGAGGTTTGAATGGGGGTCTCTAGGGGGGTCTATGCTTGACAACTTGGTAGAAATTTTTAAAGACTATATCTGTTTTTGAATAGCATTATTTTAAAATAAATTTTACGTTCCTAGACATGCTAATGAGCCATATATTTGGCATGATAATGATCCTAAATATTTGGCAAAACATTCAAGTATTGTTCACTTCATTATTTTTTTTTGAAAAAAACGTAAGCAAAATGTGTTGTTTTTACGCAAAACCGATGCCCACAAAATACATTTTGTATAGCTCTAAAACGCTGAAAATGGCATTTTCAAGGCTCTGAAATTCAAAATTTCTCAAGGGAGAATGCCTCAAACCCCCCCAGGTGCAAAGCGCCTCCGACGTTTTATGACTGATGTCTGAAAAATCCTAGATCCGCCCCTGAGAGATATAACCGATAACTATTACGATCACATTTAATGTTTAACGTCAATGTCTATGGTCTACGATCTATCTTAGAACGGTTAAACTACTTCTATTTATACAAGATATTACGTATGGATATATTTCTTCCTTACTAAATATGGTTACTTTACAATCAACGGAAAGCTATTAGGAAATATAAAAAAGATTGTGATTATTCCACATAAGTATCCCTTAAAATAATCATTCAGTTAGTTACACTTGACTTAATTATTTACTAATTACAGGAAGAATATGAAAGCATATCTTAACAGACGGTACCTTGCACTTGTTTCATCATCTCTGTTTGAAAGTCCGTACACCTCTTTCTAGTAGACCATTGAATGATTGGTGGTATGGTGCTGACATGAAATGGCTTATCTCATTTCTCTGCACGAACGTTTGAGACTCTTGGCTTGTGAACACCGTAGCGTTGTCTGAAACCACCACCTCAGAGAGACATTGAGTTGCGCACTCAAGGTTGATTTGAGTCTAGCTGTGGTTGTTTCAGTTGTAGCAGTGTTGACGCAATGGACTTTCAGCCATTTTGAGTGGGGGTCAATAATCAAGAGCAGCATTTTATCCGTAAAGATACCCGCAAAGTCGATATGGGTAAGTGCCCAAGGGCGACTAGGCCTTCCCTAAGGGTATAAAGTTGCGGTATTTGCTGGCATTTTCTTGTGCTGTTGATATTAGGCTTTAGCATTGTATTGTATTCCAATGTTATGTCCAAGTGTAGGAAAATAAACCAAAACGCTATTTCGTTTTTGTGAATTATATTTACCGATTAGCGAAGAAGTTATTAATACCAATTAGAGTATTCTGTTATGTAAAATTTATTTGCAAGCTTTTATAATTTTCTTTAACTAGGTGCAGTTATTACGAGGCGGATAAAGTACTTGAAATTTAAGAATATTTACGTAATTATAAAGTTAAGTGGGTAAGTTTAAGTAGCGCGTTTGAGTAAAAGTAGGACTGGCTATTTCCTTTATTGCTACATAGCCTGGGAAATATGTTAACTAAAGAAGTCTTTGAAAAAATGTGAAGTGCACCAGCTTAAAATTGTCATCACAAAGAAAAACATGAAAAATCTATGTGATAAAAAGACGGCTTATAAAACATTCAACAGTACATTTTAAAATATTTCAAAAGTATATATATCAACGTTTTCAAACTATTATTTCACCGAACAAACGAAAAAAGGCATTTCGTCTCTGCTTGATTGAACCAAAAATCATCAATACCATGCTCCAAGTATATTGTTCTACTTCGGTTTGTTAATAAAATTGCTAAGTCAGCCGTGAGTCATGATCGATTGTGGAAAGTCAAGACTTTGAGCGTCTTTAGTCGTCTATATTTCTGTCCAGAAGCTTTCTTGTCTGCGTCATTACTTGCAATATGAGTACACATTTGGATTCTTGTAAGACTGTATGTACAGTATACTGAAAAAATAGTAGTACAACACTCAACTAGCAATATTTCACAACTACAACAAAGATGTCGTGTGCACTGCAAACAGCTGCGAATGTTGGACATAACAGCCGAATTACAATATAAAAAGGTTAATAAACAGCAAAGCTCAAAAATTGAAAAAATGGACTCATAGCTCAACAAATGGTATAACATATAAGAAAGCAAACACCACATCTCAGATACCATCTATCAAAATTATAGTTTAATACTGAAATGACAAATCGCTCTAGTTAGTTTGAAGTAACATTGAAAAAATAAATCATGCAATATGCATTTCTTATCTTACGAAACAAAAAAAGGCAACGTAGAATCACAACTATTCTGAGTAGTATTTGAAGTAAATTTTGAGTAATAAACTCAAATTGAAAGAAAATGTACCTTTGAAATTCAATTGGTACCAAATAATATCACATATACTGAATTACAAGTCGCCAAAACTGAAAATTCCGTATGTTGATCGTCTTATTTTTCTTTCTCTCATTCTTATTTGCCTTTTCTATTCTCTTTGCAGCATTTGGACAATGAAAAACCGACATTAACAATTGCAATGGAATTTGCAGAGCGCCGTTATGGGTACAAAACACTCTGAAGAGCGAACAGTTTCAGCGAAAAACAAATTGTCAACGTAAAAAGTCGTCATTTAGCCCCTGAATTTGCGCGGATTCCTGCGCCGTTTCGCCTTATTACAAAAAAAGAGTAAATATACACCAAGAAGCTAGTGCAAATGATGTGAATTTTGAGTTAGCATTTTTTTTGATATGCGTAACGCAAAAAACTCGTCATCCGAGTGAGCAACCTTAGCAAGCTTTTGTTGTTTGCCATTGTTTACCAAGTATAGTGAAAGACCTTTCACCCCGATGCTACCTAATTGGTTGAGGGCATGCAAGACTCTCTTTGCTTTGATTGGCTAAGACGTAAAGCATAATATTGATTTCATCTTTAATGTGCAAGTTATACGATTGAAATACATGCTAAACTTGATAAGTACTACTAGAGCAACATAATGGTTAAAAAATTTTTTGGTTCCTCAATGGACGCATGAAAAAATCACAATTTTCGTAGTGGGCCCATGGTCTATATATTATTGCAGGTCTATACCATTATTTATTGCCATAAATGACATAATTCATTAAAAAGCCTCGCCTATCAATTTTTTTATTTTGTACAAATGAATTAATGTGGCGTTCAAGCATGCACTCGTTCAGTTTTTGCTATGTGTTTTATCTAATTTTATCAAATTGAATTTTTAAGTAGCCAACCGTACATGAACAATGTTGCAGTTTTTTTTTGTTATTTCAAAAACCTTAAATTTGTCTTACTATTGCTGCATTGAGTATTCTCCACCAATACAGCATTTCTCAATTTGAAATCCATATAGATCATGGAGTGTAAGCCAAAAATACGCACAGCAAAAGCAATTTATAGATTAGTTGAAGCATTTGATGAAAAAATCTTATTAATATAGAGTTTGTCTACAACCACAAAACAAATATGACCAGTGCTGACACAAACAAAAAATGTTCTTTATAGCTACCTCAAATCATGGAGTCTTGAGTCAAATATTTTTTCCAACTTTTTATTTTCACTAGAATATTCCATTTTCTAACAATTTCACAATGTTATGACAAATAAA